AAGCTGAACCAAAACTTAACATAAAATCAGCGTGGTTCACAAATAACAACATTAACAACAACCAACGAGCTCGACCAGAATCAAAGTGCTAATCATTTCCAGCTAACAAGAAAATATGATAATGACACCATACGCTCAGTGAGATTACCTCAACAATGGCAAAAACCGAAACATGTTTTACATGTACGTTAAGTTTTAATATGCCAACAAATCACTTATAGCTACCTGCCATCAAACTATCTCCTAGCGAGGATTTACAAAATCAAATCTAACACCACCTAACCAATTGAAACGTACCGTGAGACCAGCCAGGGAAATCAGTCAGACAATCGGCCTTCCCCTGCAGTCGCCCATACCCATACTGGCTAGCCCAGTGTGCAGAGCTACAACAGCTGGGTAGGTTTCCATAGGGTGAAAAGTTTCTTCGCTTTACCGTCTAAAAGAGCCACACAGGTGGGCGTAATTCACACCTATTCTAAACTATGAATCACTATGATAACCTAAACTAGAACTCATTCGTGAATTAAATAATGTAATACACATACTCAAAGTCTGCGATAAAGAAGCCTCAATTTTGGTGCCATTTTGTAATAGCGGGAAGAAGGCAAAGAAAAACCAGAAGTGTGCGTGATGAGGAAAAAAAATTATGGCTAAGATAAAAGTAAAGAAAAGACAAGGGTTCTTCTAAGCAGGGGCCACGAAATATTTTATGTAGTCTTGGCGATAAATATGTGAACCACACAACTGCAAACAAAATATAACTACACCTAGACGAACCACGGGCACGGACTACAAATTCTAACTAGAATAAAATAAATGAATTCTTTCATCACATTAAACTTTTTTTTTTTTAAAACTGAATACGAAGCTATTTCTTCACAGATAACAATACATTAAAAACTAGCATCGTTTTCACACAGGCCACGCGCTATGTACTTTAGCTATCTAAAGTGAAAATTTAGATTTGACTTTGATTGAAATTTTTATCTTACCATAGACACACTACCGCCATGAAATAAATCAGTCTACCGTCCATCGATCACCCGAAACCCACGGCTGTGAAAACTGACGTATGATCTGTGATTTTATAAGATGTTCGTATTTTCCAATAAGGGATGTAAACACTTGCTCCTACTACTCCTTTCAAATTTTTTTATTCATACGCGTTTATTATCAGGTTATCAGTTTTATTATCAGGTTATCAGCTTCAATGTTTCTAATGTGCCCTTCCTGCTATGGTCCTTACTTGTAGTGGGTTAGTGGTTTGTAAAATCTGTTTTGTGGGCTAATGTTTACATGTGGTGGTTTCAATTCTCATGGTGGCATCTGAGGTTTATATATCTTACTTACTTCAAGTATTCTTGCTAGTTCCTCATTAGTATACATTTCTACTGCAGCATCTCATGATGCTGGCCTACGAACGTTTCTTATTAGCACCCCCTTGAATTTTTTTTTGTAATGGTGATAAAAACGTCACATGTCGGACGATCATTATTGTGTGCGGCTTGAAGCCAGTAATTGTAAATTAATTGTTTTCTTCTCAGATTTTTTTTTTTTTTTAATGAAATTCATTAAGACTTCTGAGTTTCCCGCAGCTAATTTGAGCTGATATTGCAATGGAAATTACAGATACTATTGATTACCTAGTTAGTTAGTTAGTTAGTCTTTCCTCTTGTGTCGAGTGCGGTACATAGGGCAGAGGTCATGACTCTCCATGCATGGCGGTTCGTTGCAATCTGTTGTAGGTCTTGGATGTTTGAGTGGCCCATTAGTGAGCCTTCCCTGATGATAGTTCTACGTAGGGTTTCCCTTGGTCTTCCGCGAGATCTTTTCCCCCGTGGTGTCCAAATGAGGGCTTGGTAAGGAAGTCTTGATTTATCCATTCTAAGGGCGTGGCGGTCATAGTTCCAGCAGCGTTTTCGTATAAAATTAGATACATACTCTTGCCTGGATTCTTGCCTTATTTGTGTATTGGTTCGGAAATCTGACCATTTGAAATTTAGTATTCTTCTAAGGCATTTATTTTCAAAACTGTCTAATTTTGTGTCTAGAGTTTTCGTTGATTTCCAGCTCTCGCATCCATAGGTTAGTACTGGAATCACACAAGAATTGAAGATCTTGAGATACTATTGATGAACAGTGGGAAATGTTGTGTGAGTCAGTTCAGCAGACATCAAAATAGACAATCCCACCCACCCATAAAGTTACAAAAAAGAAATGGATGTCAACCGAAATTCTGCAGTTGATGGATTAAAAAATAGATAGAAAAAAAATGATAAAGAGGAATACTCTAGAATACAAAAAAGAAATAGCCTGAATCAAATGTGTACAGAGGTTGGGGAAAATCACAGGAAAGTCTCACATTCCATGTACCAACAGATAAATATGTTAACAGGAAAGATGACACCTAACAGCACCGTATGTTTAAAATCAAAAGATGGTGGCTTATTAATGGGACATAGTAATATAATTAACAGATGGACAGAGTATATAAGGTAATTGTATGATGATAATATACCAGATGTAAAACTGCAGACCAACAATGATAGTCCACCAATAATGACTGCAGAAGTTGAGAATGCATTGCATTATATGAAGAAAGGAAAAGCACCGGCCAGACAACATCTCACTGGAAGAAATCGAAACACTGGGAGATTTTGGAATTGAAATAATAACTAAACTTTAAATTGATATTTATAATAGTGGTCATATTCCAAATGACCTTTTAAAATCGATATTTATAGCTCCAGGCACTCTAAAATGTAAAGACCATCGCACAATAAGTCTTATGAGTCACATAACTAAGAATTTGCTGAGAATATTTATGAGAAGAATAAGAAACAAAATTAAACCATAAATTAGCGATGAACAATGTGGGTTTGTTGAGGAAAAAGGTACAAACAAGGCCATATACATCATAAGGACATTATCAGAAAAAGCTATAGAGGTAAAGACTGATTAGTACTTATGTTTCGTAGACTATACAAAAGCATTTGAGTGTGTGAAACATGAAGAAGTAATGAAACTTAGAAAATTAAACATTGGTGGAAAAGATTTACGAATGCTAAAGAACATATTTTGGCAGCAGACAGCAGCTATAGGAATTAATAACCACTTGGGAATATTTCAGAGCATACAGATGGGAGTACGACAAGGATGTGCTCTATCGCCTGATTTGTTTTTATTATGCAAGGAATCTATAATGAGTTTTTATCATGGGTATGCCAGGAATTGTGGTTGCTTATCATAACATAAACAACCTACAAAATGCTGTTGACACTTTCTTGATAGCAACAAGTCAGAAACAACTACAGTAGTGGAAGAAAGTGATAAAATCGGCCTCAGTTTGAATAATGGAAAGACAGAAGTTATTGTGGTATCAAATAAAAAGAATTATTTCTAAATGTTTATAAAAAGTCGATGGTGTTATTTTGGGACAAGTGCAGACATTAAGGTATCTGGGCACATGGATAACATCAGATTGAAGATGCAGAACTCAGATAAGAAACAGAATAGGACAGACAAAAACTGAAGAACATCTTATGCAATTTTTCTTTGTCATTGAGAGTTAGAAAAATAGTTCTTTTTTGCTATATACATCTAGTTTTAACATATGGCTGTGAATCCTGGACAATCGGTTGGCAGGCCAAACAATTTCTTGAGGCCTTAGAGAGGTGGTTTTACTGATGAATGCTTCAAATACATTGGACAGCCGAAAAAGAGCAGCCAAGAGGTTTTGACAAAGGCGGAAGCCCAAAGGCAACTTATCACAGACATCAGAAGGAAACAGGCATCCTTTCTCGGCCATGTTATGAGAAGAGGGAAAATAGAACATGTTGTGACCACTGGAAAGATCTGTGGAAGGAGGGATGGGATAGAGGAAGACAACGAGAGAAGATTCTTGATTGTCTTGTTGCATGGCGCAGAGATGTGTCGGCACACGAACTGATACATACTGCAGAAGGTCGCTGATTGTGGACAGGAATGATCGCCTACGCCAGTCAGCAAGGCTGATGACGATGATGATGATGATGATGATTGCAGTGTACATGGGAATCCGCGTTTAAGTACGTGTTACATCTTGAAATTAAAGATATTCTTGACTGCAGGGGAATTCAGTTGTCAGAAGTGAAGACAGCACGTATATGCTTGTGTGCCGTTGTTCAGTCAGTTCGCCAGTGAATACGTAGCCAACAGATATCGTTCATTTATTATTTTATGTGACTACTGTGAATTAAAGAGGATGTTGAACTTGTGCAGTCCGTCTTGGAGTCTGCTGTACGCCAGACTGTGATAGTACCCCTGGACCTTTTGTAAGGACGTTGCATTTCATGAGCACGTATTATCAGAGTGAAGAATCATACCCATAACAACGTCCCGAATAGTGATTTATATATAGGGAAAGGACACATCGAATAACTTGTGGAAGTTTCTGTACGAACAATGTTTAGTGAAACACAGCTCGACCGAAATTGTCGCAAGGCAGCGCTCATAAATCATAGAAGATCATCAATCTATGGAAAGAGAAATTCTGAAAATAAACCTCAATCCTCAAAGTCGGAAAAAGTCAGCATACGAGGCAAGGGACTTAAAATATGACGATATGACCTTGCAATCAAATTTTCTGACTATCATATTTAGAAATAAGTGATTTTGTTCATTATTGTTTTAATAATATACCATTGGAGGCTTTCTAGCAGCAACGTTAATTAATTTTTGTTCATAATAATGTGAAGAGTTTCATCTTTTCAATAGCGGAGAGGGATTTTCCGAAAATAGCACTATTGGGTGACATTTGTAGAACGTTGCCTGCCATCTTATTTGGTGCGACATCTTCTGGTCGACATGATGTCCCCGTGTGATCAGCCAAGTTCACACTTGTATGTATCTGGCTTCTAGCAACATAAACAGTCAACTTTAAATGCTATAGAACAACCTACTGGGATACTAAACATTCGCAAAACCATCGCTTTGTATATGCATGACCAACTTCTCTAATAATGGCTACCACAGAGCGGATATCGTTTGGCTCACATTACAAGTTTCCACTGAAACTTTATCAGGTCGCTGATGACGAGACCATAATTAAATGGGCTGACGACGGTAACTCGGTTGTAGTTGAACAAGTGGAATTCGAAGACAATGTCATGCTTTTTTACCCTGGTTTCGTTCAAGTGAGATCATTTCACAATCTGCGACGTCTGTTCCGCGACTACGGATTTCGGTTTCAAGTTTTGAGGAAAAGAAAACCGTATGGCCTCAAGTTGAAGTTTCGCCATCCGTTCTTTACCAGAACCAGGCCTGGCGATGTGGTGCAGGTACGAAAGATTTCGAGGAAAAACCCATCGCCCCCTAAATGCATCGATACAGATTTGCCAAGACAACCATATTTTTCTAAACAAAGAGTATTCAAGTATTCTAAGTATGAACACAAGCTGAACTCGAAGATGGACATTTTGGGAACTAGCTGTGGAGGACAATACATCCAGCCAAGTGCTGCTCCCTCGACTCTAGATGATGATAACACAGAAACTAGATCGTCAACAGTGCAAACATTGCCTGTTAATACAATCCTGCCTAAAATGTCTCACCAGCATCAAGACCCAAGGCCTGGTAGTGTTCAGCTAACACCATATGATATCTTACATCTGGCTCAAATACTGGCCAAAAATGAAATGTCTGAAGCAGAATTCTGGCAGTTAATCACCCGGAGACGTGGTCTAGTCTGGGCAGACAAATCGTGGGACGCTACCCTGAATCTATTAACAAATCTTGTCAATCCTGAATTATCTCTCTTACACCACCAAGGTTTCTACTACCAGCTTTCTATTGGGGAATTATGAACATGCAACAATGATGGCCGTATATCCACACATGTTTTTCTTCTTCTTCCTTCGTTCGCTTGAAATATCTTATCTATATATGCAATGTTATCTCTAGTATGAACTTCGCTGATTGTTGTAATTCAGTCAGCGACCCGTAAAGTTTGGCTTGCACCGGTGTTTCTCGTTGTCAAAAGTTTTACATTGATGTGTTGTACCTGGGACAGTCTTGTAGGATGTGATCTGTTGTTGATTCGCCAATCTGAAATTTTGTGTACATGTGGCTGCAAAGTCGATTGTGTCCTGTTCTAAGGCGTAGAATAATGAATTGCTTTGGTCTGTCCATTACATGGTAATCGTCTTTTGCGGTTTTGATGGCTTTCTGACTGATTCGATTATTCTCTTTTTCTGTTGGTAAGAGACTTATACGTCAGGTTGTTCTTCATTTGCACCTTCTTTAGCTAGTTTAACAGCTCTTTCATTTCCTGGGACTCCACAGTGGTATTGTATCTATTGCATAGCTACTTTACATTGGTTGCCCAGTTCAAAGAGTAGATTCCGTATACCAGGTAATTTTTCACATTCGAGTGCCTGAAGTACCGCTCTTGCATCTGTCAAGAATACCACGTATTATGAAATGACACATATTAAACAGTTTCCCTATTTTTCCTGCTTTTTTGATGGCTTGAACTTCTGCATTATAGTTGTGGCAGTGCTTTTCTGTTAGTATTTTGGCTGTATATCTGGTATTATAAGGATGCCCAATGTACACTCCTGCTACTCCGTTTCTGCTTGCGTTTTGTGCTGACTCATCTGTGTAATCACGAATCCAAAGATCTTGTGGGTATTCATCATCAAGTAGTCTGGGGTTCGCTGTATTACACTGCACACTGTTTTGTTCTTCCTTGTCGAATACTCCTTTCACTTCTGTCTGAATGTGTATTGACAGCGTATAATCCTCTCTCCGGGGGGTCCGATCTGAAATAGCATTCATGGGGCAGATCAGTGGTTTAACTGTACAGTCTTTGGGTCAGGTCGACCCACTGCTAGATTTTTGAATCTTTTTTTTTCATATGGTGATTAGGCATGCTCAGAAATGTTTCAGTATTTTGGTGCATCCATCCACACATGTGGAGACACATTGATTGCATGTATGTACAAATGGGTGCCGCCTTGGCACAGTCGATAGGAGACTCACTTTCAATTGCAGCTGCGACTCGCTGCAGCTCATGGCCAGTGTTCGAAACCGAACAGATCCCGGGGTTCACCCAACCGCTAGTAAATGGGTGCCAGAGTTAACACTCTGTGGTAAATGGAGGAACGTCGCTTTAGCTACGGTGTTTTGTGGGGACGGCGACACAGTTTCTCATCAGCTGTTCGTACAGGTGGCAGAGCACTTATGGTTTATAACCGTGTGCAATGAAAAAAAAAGGCAATAGATTAAAAAGGGAAAAATCATGGCTGGGTAGGGCAGAGGATGACATCAAACAGGTCTTCAGTCTTACAGACATCCATTCCTGGTGAGGATTGAATACCACAGCTCAACACGCCTTTTCCTGTGTCGTCACGCTTGGAAGGAATTGTCGCGAGCAGAATCCCCTTGCTGTCAACGCAGAGATCTGCGCGCTTATCCGTGACAAGTCAGACAAGACAGATATGCCGATCTTCACAGATGGGTCTGTTATACGAGGACATAAGAGTGCATGGGTATTTACAGCCCGATCTTCAAGGCAAAACAATCCAAGAATCAGCGGTGCCTTCTCCATGACAACCAGCAGCCTGACGATAGTGGTGATGACGGTGATACAAGCTTTCATGTGGCTAGAATCAAAGGACTATTTTCGTTTTTGTGTGCTGAGTGATTCTTTGAGATGATACGGCGGGTCAAGACAGGCTCGCTGCGTAGACATTGGATTAAATCATTGCAAAACTCTCCTGTTTGTGCAGTTACCTTCATATGTCTTAGGGAATGCAGGCGTTGTTGGCAATGAAAGAGCTGTCCATCGCAGTGTAAGCAGAAACCGGTGTAAGGTAACCACTGTTCGTATTTGGCAGCAATGCCAAATAGTTATTAGGTCCACTATTCGGCCCCGAAGCGAATATTCGGTACAGCGTAATATATATATATATATATATATATATATATATATATATATATATATATATATATATATATATATATATATATATATATATATATATATATATATATATATATATATATATATATATAGATATATATATATAGTAAAAAGTATTGATTGTCTTGTTTGAAGGAAATATAAATTATATAAATTATATAGCAAAATATATAAACGTGAAAAAAATAGAGAGGTCTGTTGTGGTGTCAGCTGCTAGGCGATGAGTGGTGGTACAATAGTGGTTTGTGGTCTAGCATCGGCATCATATGCTATGCTGACGAGTGTGGGCGAGCACACCTCTCCTGGGTCTGTTGTTAGCCAATGAGCTGCGGTTGTAGTAGTGTACAACTAGGTGGTAATATGCAGGTAGTTAGTGGTGATCTACAAGCATGCAGTAACAGAATGTGTCATCAGAGCCTCCTGGGCATATGTGCTTTGATGTTTATGGAGTTGAAAAAAAAAAAAGGAAAATTAGGGTGGGTGTTGTACATAGTTTTAGGTGCCGGTAGATCAGTAGGGGTCAAGTTGTTGTGTCAGCTTGTTTTATGTCATAATGTTGGATGCTGGTGATCAGTAAGGAGACACATTTTCTGTTTGCTAGTTACATAAGAGGTTTTAGGGGAAATTAAATAGTCACAGCATATGTTGCCAGAACTTTTTTCAAAAGAAAATAGGAAAATAAGGGGTAAATGGGGCGGCTGTCATGTCACAATGTTAGTTGCTGGTAGATCAGTAAGGTGGCAAATTATCATGTTGGCTAGTTTCATGAAGGTTATTAGGGGTTATTGAGGGTCACAGCATATGGTGCCATGACTTTTTACATAATAAAATAGGAAAATCTGGGGACATGAGGGAGGTGTCATGTCGCAATGTATGGGGTCGAGTTGTCATGTCATCTAGTTGGATGAGGGGTGTTGGGGTCCTGGGGTATATGGTGCTTAGATACAAAAACAAAAAAAATTAGGATAAATGTGGTTAGTGTTATGTTGCAATGTTAAACGCAATGAGTCATTTAATGACAAAAGATTGAGAAGTGTTGCATACAAAGATAATGGGTGGAGTCCCTGAAGAGATCCAGGCTGACCAAAATCAGGTTCATATTTGTTCTGGAGCATTCTGGTGTAAAAGGCGATTAACGAGCTGACAGTCTTTCAAGTGATGCTCAGGCGGGAAATAGACGAGCAACAGACAAGGCTGATATACCGAAGGCCTTAAGAAAGGCAGCTTGATTAAATGAATCAAGTAATGATTGTAAACCTGCAGCACTGACTAGACTACATGAACATAATATCAAAAGAGGTGAAAGCTAGGCAAGAGTGCTATATAGGGGCCCAAGGAAGAATAGCAAAACAACACAGAACTTGTGAAGCTAGGCAAGAGTGCTATATAGGGGCCCAAGGAAGGATAGTAAAAAACACAGAACTTGTGTCCTAGGCCTCTACACGTGGTTTGATGTGCGATGATAATAATCTGTCAACTAACACCTAAGTTACTTGATGTCTTTCTCAAGCCTTTCCTTAGTTAGGCAAAGTGTTAAAGTACCCAGCTGAGCTAGCCAACTAGACATTGTTTCATCCATCTGTTCATCTATCTTCCTAACTAGCTGTTTAGCTGTCTATTTAACTGTAACCCTAGACATCTGCCTTGCTCTTCCATAAGTGACCTCACAATTTTCACAAATTAAAAGGACAATTTCAAAACTTAGCCTGTCCCTCTAACCAACTAGCAGTCCCTCTAACCAACTAGCAGTCCCTCTAACCAACTAGCAGTCCCTCTAACCAACTAGCAGTCCCTCTAACCAACTAGCAGTCCCACTAATCAACTAGCAGTCCCACTAACCAACTAGCAGTCCCTCTAACCAACTAGCAGTCCCACTAATCAACTAGCAGTCCCACTAACCAACTAGCAGTCCCACTAACCAACTAGCAGTCCCACTAACCAACTAGCAGTCCCTCTAACCAACTAGCAGTCCCACTAACCAACTAGCAGTCCCACTAACCAACTAGCAGTCCCTCTAACCAACTAGCAGTCCCACTAACCAACTAGCAGTCCCTCTAACCAACTAGCAGTCCCACTAACCAACTAGCAGTCCCACTAACCAACTAGCAGTCCCACTAACCAACTAGCAGTCCCTCTAACCAACTAGCAGTCCCTCTAACCAACTAGCAGTCCCACTAACCAACTAGCAGTCTCTCTAACCAACTAGCAGTCCCTCTAACCAACTAGCAGTCCCTCTAACCAACTAGCAGTCCCACTAACCAACTAGCAGTCCCTCTAACCAACTAGCAGTCCCTCTAACCAACTAGCAGTCCCACTAACCAACTAGCAGTCCCACTAACCAACTAGCAGTCCCTCTAACCAACTAGCAGTCCCACTAACCAACTAGCAGTCTCTCTAACCAACTAGCAGTCCCACTAACCAACTAGCAGTCCCTCTAACCAACTAGCAGTCCCTCTAACCAACTAGCAGTCCTTCTAACCAACTAGCAGTCCCTCTAACCAACTAGCAGTCCCTAACCAACTAGCTGTTTAACTGACTGTCTACCCCTCATCTTCCGGATGTCTGCCTGGTTGTATCATAACTGACCTTGTCTCACTGTACATTCACAAATCTTGTTAACTTTTCTTCACAGTTGCCATCTTGCTATCTTACAAATTGATTATGTGACCAAATTTTTAAAAATCAAAGTTAAGGACGCAGCAACCTCTGGTTGGGTTACTGGCCCTGTGACCCGCCTTTAATTTTGGTTTGTAAATATTTTTTACTTTACTGTGAAATATTAGATTTTCTTCAAATAGACACATATATTTCTTTTAACACTGCTGCCCCGGACATGCTAACAAAACTGGGTCATAATCCTATGGAATGTTCTCTTCAAATACATTTTTTTTAACCATATCAACCCAGAAATGAAAAAAAAAGGTGATGACCCTGTGAAATATTAGACTTTCGTCAAATGGACACACACACTTTTTTTTTAACTGTCACTCTAGAAATGCTTAAAAAAAAATAGGTCACGACATACATTTGTTTTAAACTTCAGAAAAAGAATTGTTGAAACAAAAAAACACACAAAAAACCATAATTTTGCACAAGTTATAATAGATATAATGTTTTTTAAAACCACACTTTTAGTTTTCATAAGTAATCAATAAACACAAATAGAAGGGGGTCTCTGTTTGGGATGTTTTGGTTTCCTTTTACAGCTGCGCCGCACAGTTCACGAGTGCAGTTGTGCAGCACCGAGCCATATGGGATAAAACTCGGTGCAATGAAGTCAATTTGCTTGACTTTGACCCTTTTTAGAGTGGAGCATTTAATGGAATAAATTCCTCAGGGCCTAAAAAAAAAACAATATATATATATCAAGTAACTCATGCAGTCACCCCATTACTATCACTGGGGCTATATGTCAAGTAACTCATGCAGTCACCCCATGACTATCACTGGGGCTATATGTCAAGTAACTCATGCAGTCACCCCATGACTATCACTGGGGCTATATATCAAGTAACTCATGCAGTCACCCCATGACTATCACTGGGGCTATTTATCAAGTAACTCATGCAGTCACCCCATGACTATCACTGGGGCTATTTATCAAGTAACTCATGCACTCACCCCATGACTATCACTGGGGCTATATGTCAAGTAACTCATGCAGTCACAGCATGACTATCACTGGGGCTTAAATGAAAATTTGATTTGAAGATAAAGCTATCTAGTTCACAGGAGAACACACCTAAATGCCTTTTTTTAAGCTAAAATATTAACATCCTGACCTTCCAAATGTTTGCGCAGTCAAGAACTCAGCCAATAGCATTAACAGTGCACCCCGTAAACAAGTCGCTAAAGAAACATCAGAAAATAGGAATTTTTGGGAAATGGAACCAACCAAAGTGTTGGTATGCAGCGTCCTGGGGTGAAAGGGTTAAATAGACCTCAATTAAATACCAAATATTGACTGTGAGGCCGAGAGGCAGGGTGGAAAATTTTTGTTGTCCTGGGTTGACCTCTTGCCCTGTATCCCAGTGTTCTCATGTATTGTGCTTGCCCTGTGGACTGGCTGGAATTCTTTCTAATCAAATACCCAAACCATCTGAGTTGGATCTATGATGTTCAATAGAATCAGCTGGTGTTTTCCTGATAATGTCTCTCCATACTACATTTTTTTAAAATTCTCATCCCAAGTGGATGTCTTACCAGCAGCATTTTGTATAATCTCATCTAAAACATGATTTTACATTTGCAGTATTCTAATAGCGTATCAGCATGTACAGTAACACTGGTATAAAACTACTGAGTTAACAATTTGTAGGATAGCATTAAGCTAACTGCTTGTATAACAGCAATGAGTTATTAACTGTTGGTATGACAGCAATGAGTTATTAACTGTTGGTATAACAGCACTTACCTACTAACTGTCAGTTTAACAGCACTGAACTACTAACTGTTGACGTAACAGCATTAAGCTAACTGTTGTCATAACAGCACTAAGGTAACTGTTGGGTTAACAGCATTGACTTACTAGCTATTGGTATAACGGCACTGAGCTAACTGTTGGCATAACAGCACTGAACTAACGGTATAACAGCACTGAGGTACTAGCCGTTGATATAACAGTACTGAGTTACTAACAGTTGGTATAACAGCACTCAGGGAACTGTTGGTATAACAGCATTGAGCTAACTGTTGGTATAACAGCACTGTGTTACTAGTTGTTGGTATTAAAGCACTGAGCTAACTATTGGTACAACATAACTGAACTAACTGTGGTTGGTAGGATAGTACTGAGCTAACTGTCTGTATAACAGAACTGAACCATGTTTGTATAATAAAACTGAGCTTTTGTAATAGAATAGTGAGCTAGCTGTGTGTGTGTGTGTGTTTTATGTATGTGTACAAGTATGCATGTATGTGTATGTGTACGTGAATGGGTACATAGGTATGTAATTGTGGTCTGAAAGATGAGTGCTTGGAAGGGCCGAATGTGAGATGGGCCTGTGTGCCAAATTGGCAGCCCTTTGAAAATAAAGTTTGTTTATTTGTTAGGACAGCACTAAACTAATTATTTGTGGGATAACAATGAGCTAACTGTTGCAGGCCCTGAATGACCTCAGCGAACTCATCCACTTCTAAACCTGCTTCCAGAAAGTGTTGGTGTTTGGCAATGTTGAATCTGGACACACAAGTCTCTAAGCTGGTAATATAGTTACAGACATCCACACTTGACTGTAGTGAGGTCATTGCAGCTACAGTTTCAACTCCTGTCAATAAACCATCAAGTGCAGCGGAATCAGTCATTTTTTTACACAAACACTCCAAAACAAAACAATCAAGGTTCGCTATTTAAACAATCCATGGGTTATTTGCTATTGAAACAGTAAGATCTCTTTTTCAACAGATCTACTGCTGCTATCTTTTAACTGTTACTTTCTATAAATTACCTTTGTTATGATATCTTTTATTCAAAAGCCTTCATATAATCTGTAGGGCAGGGATAGCATGCATGATTAAGAAAGATGTTATAAGACGATCCTTAGTGCAACAAAGCCTGGCATATGATGTCTAGTTTGAGAATGAAGGTGGAGGAAGTAACTGCTGCCTTCCCCGTAACAACCAGCTGCAATGGAGAGAGTGGGAGGAGGAGAAGATGAGGAAATGGAGACAGAAGGCACAGAAATAGAAGAGCAGGAGCCCCGAGTTAGGTGAAAAATGGAGTGTCTGGGATTAAAGCATATTAGAGTGGGTTACTGGAGTTGTCGTAGTGCCAGGCAGAGAGGACCTGTACTGAAGAGACTGATTTATGACTTTGATATCATCATGCTGCAGGAATTAAACACAGATAGACATAAGTGTCCTGGATACATTAGTTATATAAATCCTACCAGACAGGAAAGATATGGGCAACATCTTCTGGTAAAGAATGGGGTGAAGCATGTGGTTTTTGACCTGGACCAGTGGAATCACAGTGCATTGGAGGTCCAGGGTATACAGACAGATAATGGGGGAACAACCTGGAATTTAGTAAATGTTTACGCTGCTGTTAAATCTCTTGTCATAAGGAAACACTGGGACTGGTTCAAAGAGTTGGAGAAAAAAACCTAGTAATAGGCTTCTCATCTGTGGGGATTTTAATGCAGTAACAGAGCACTGGACAGTAATGGGAAAAATAGGCAAGGAAATGCATTAGCAGAGTTTATGGTGGATGCAGACGTAGGTCTGTATAAATGACAGCAGGCCAACTAGAATGGCAATGAGACCTGGGGATGCAGACACGGTCATTGATTTGGCTTTTGTTACCCAGTCAGCAGTGCTGGACACGAAATGGAGTGTCCTAGGCGATCATGGTAGTGACCATATGCCGTGCTCAGTCTTGATTTCTAAAGCTAGCAAGATCAGGGCTGTGAGAAAGCCCAGGGCTGTGAGAAAGCCCAGGACTTTAAAGTATGAGAGGGACAGTACCCTTCTTGGACACTTTCGATAGAAGGTATGTAGCAGAACTACCATCTCTGCTTTTGTGCAGCCTCCATGGTGGACACAAGAAGTAGAACAGGCATGGAGAGATTATCACCCTACAAAATACTTTTGGCAAGGTGTTTGAGAAGATTATTGCTGTTAAACTACAAATGTTTTTGGAAAGGGAAGAGCTCCATCCAAAAGGTTTGGGAAGTTACCAGCCACGGAAAGATACCTCTGGTCAAATGCAGCTACTTTTGCTTTTGATGTTTTTGAGGACTTCCAGAATAGTAAGGAGAGGGTAATGATAGCACTTGATCTTGAGGATGCCTACAATAGAGTCAGATATGATATTTTGATTTCTGCACTCATGGAGGGTATTTTCCCTGCATTCACAAATGGTTGCCCTTCGTCAAGGTACATGGACATCAGAACCATGTAATATCGCCCAGGGTTCTGCAATTTCAACAATGCTTTTTAAATACAAGCAAGATTGCAGAACTTGAAGCACCAGGTGTTGGAAGGATATTGACATTCACCCATGATGTTCTTGCATATAGGCAGGGGAGAGATAGGCGATGGATAGCTCACGAGCTACAGGCAGGGGAGAGATAGGCGATGGATAGCTCACAAGCTACAGGCAGGGAAGAGATAGGCGATGGATAGCTCACAAGCTACAGGCAGGGGAGAGATAGGCGATGGATAGCCCAAGAGCTACAGGCAGGGGAGAGATAGGCGATGGATAGCCCAAGAGCTACAGGCAGGGAAGAGACAGGCGATGGATAGCTCACGAGCTACAGGCAGGGGAGAGATAGGCGATGGATAGCCCAAGAGCTACAGGCAGGGGAGAGACAGGCGATGGATAGCTCACGAGCTACAGGCAGGGGAGAGATAGGCGATGGATAGCTCACAAGCTACAGGCAGGGGAGAGATAGGTGATGGATAGCTCACAAGCTACAGGCAGGGGAGAGATAGGCGATGGATAGCCCAAGAGCTACAGGCAGGGGAGAGATAGGCGATGGATAGCCCAAGAGCTACAGGCAGGGGAGAGACAGGCGATGGATAGCTCACGAGCTACAGGCAGGGGAGAGATAGGCGATGGATAGCCCAAGAGCTACAGGCAGGGGAAAGACAGGCGATGGATAGCTCACGAGCTACAGGCAGGGGAGAGATAGGCGATGGATAGCCCAAGAGCTACAGGCAGGGGAGAGATAGGCGATGGATAGCTCACGAGCTACAGGCAGGGGAGAGATAGGCGATGGATAGCTCACGAGCTACAGGCAGGGGAGAGATAGGCGATGGATAGCTCACGAGCTACAGGCAGGGGAGAGACAGGCGATGGATAGCTCACGAGCTACAGGCAGGGGAGAGATAGGCGATGGATAGCCCAAGAGCTACAGGCAGGGGAGAGATAGGCGATGGATAGCTCACGAGCTACAGGAAACTGTAGACAAAGTGACTGACTAGTGTGCAGAAATGGGTGCTGTCATCAATTCAGAAAAGGCGGCTGTTTTGGACAATAGAATTGTTAAAGCTAATGTTCATAACCTCTCAGTAAGAAAGAGAAAGCAAACTGAGATACCTGGGTATCATTTTCAATAGAAGCCTGTCCTTCAGGGATCATGTGGAGGCAGCTGCGGGGAAATGCCAAAAAAGACTCAATGTTCTCAAGATTAAGGCAGCAATGGACATGGAACAAAGAATGTTGTTCACAATGTTCCAACATGTGATCCTGTCGGTGATAGATTATGGACTTGGAATGCTTACCATATCAAAGATTCAGCTGATGAAACTTGAACACATACGCGTGCGTGCGTGCGTGTGTGTGTGTGTGTGTGAATGTGTATGTGTGTGTATGTGTGAGTAAGTTTGCCTGTGTATGTGGATGTGTATATATATGTCTGTGTGTGTGTGAGTGAGTAGGTTTGCATGTGTATGTGTGCGTGCGTGTAAGAAAGTGCGCGTGCATTTTACGTCACTTCTGCGTTTTTTCTTGATTTTCATAATATATTAAATTAATACATGAACATAGCATGCTTTTTTGATAAAGAACGATTGCTGTGGTGAAAAAATAGGTGTGTAGAAGGGCCTGAGTGCCCAATTTGTGACCCTTTGAAAATAAAGTTCATTCGTTCTGTTTGTGCATAAATATACTGATGTTTGGATAAATGGTTGCTGATGTATCCATGTGAAGATAATGATTAGATATGCATCTATATGTGTATAAATGGTTTTGGATGTAGCCATATGTAGATATATAAATGTTGATGTATTGATGTGTGGATTTATGGTTGTTGATGTATTCATGTGTGAATATATAGTTGATGATGTGTCCATGTGTGATATGATTGCTGATTTATCCATGTGTGGATATATTACTTTAGATGTCTTTATATGGTTGATGTATCACTGAAAGGATGTGGCTGTAGAACCATCACTAAAAGGATGTAGCTGTAGAACCATCACTAAAAGGATGTAGCTGTAGAACCATCACTAAAAGGATGTAGCTGTAGAACCATCATTAAAAGATCATCACTAAAAGGATGTGAAAGAACCAACTAAAAGGCTGTAGCTGTAGACCCTCATTAAAAGTTGTAGGTGTAGTTTCATCAATGAAAGGACCTGTAGTCGTATAGTGAAAGGATGAGGTCATAGATCATCAATGAAAAATGATTGAAGTAAATCATCAATGAAAGGACCAAGTTGTAGATCATCATTGAAATGATTGAAGTAGATCATCAATGAAAGGACCAAGTTGTAGATCATCATTGAAATGATTGAAGTAGATCATCAATGAAAGGATTAGGTTGTAGATCATCATTGAAATGATTGAAGTAGATCATCAATGAAAGGATTAGGTTGCAGATCATCAATGAAAGAATGAGGATAATCAATGAAAGGATGAAGTTGAAGAGCATCAATGAAAGGATGTGTTTATTTATAAAACATGAGAATATGTTTGTAGCTCAACAAATGCGAAGAAATGATTCTGCATCAACTCACCAGTGACAGGGCTCCTCAGTGTGTCTGTCAGATAACCCTGCTGGTTTATGTGACTAGAGAAAATATGTGGGAATGGAGTTGTCACCTTGAGGCCATCTCTCATGACACATGCAGTACTGGAAAATATATAAAAAAAAAAAAAAAAAAGAAAGAAATGTCGCACAATTTTTTTCAGAATTTAAATATAAATATAATATATGTTATATATATATATATATATATATGTATATATATATATACATACATACATACTAATAAATTACAGACATTCATTAACTGGTGCCTGCGCAGCATAGAGGGAATAAAATGGTATGATAGAATAACTAGTGTAGAACTTTGGGAGAGAACTAAACAAGCTCCAGTGGATCAGGAGGTGAGGAAAAGACGCTGGTGTTGGATAGGGCACTGAGAAAACAGGAGAACAGCATAACTAGAATGTCTTTGCATTGGAACCCACAGGGGTATAGGAATAAAGGAAGGTCAAAAAACACATGGAGAAGAGAACTGGAGAATGAGGTTAGAAAGATTGGAAGGACATGGGGAGAGCTCCATGCAATGGCGAAGGATAGAACGACTTGGTATGAGTTGGTTGAGGGCCTATGCTCCATTGGGGGATAGAAAGGCAGAAGAAGAAGAATATATATATATCAGCAATATTACTGAAGTTGACTCTACTGAAATATAAATAAATATCAAATATTATCAAATACCTTTCTTAGATGTTTGTGTATTCTAGACAAAGCATATAAATTTCTGTAACCTATGGTGCCATTTCAATGGTTTGAAATGAATTCTGTCCCTATTTCATAGTTGTGGATTTTAAGCTGTATGATAGACATGGCCAATAGGACACCTTTTTTGGGGGGTGCCTAGCTGACCATGTTCTTAGTGCGCTTGTATCTAAAGTGAGGCACACATGCCGTCTGGAGGTGACAGGTTCAATTCCTGGCATGGTAACTATTGCTTTCAATTTTTATGTTGTCTAGTGTGTTCTTCTATCTTTCTATGAGTGCTGATCAGTGCATTTTATGTTACTTTATTAATATATAATACTGAAATATAAACAGTAGATGATGTTGACTGGTATTTTAGAGTATTTCTCTCACTGTTGTATCCATCTGCAATATTAGCGAAGTTGACTCTACTGAAATATAAACAGTAGATGATGGTAAATGGTATTTTGTATTTCTCTCACTGTTATATCCATCTGCAATATTAGTGAAGTTGACTCTACTGAAATATAAACAGTAGATGATGTTAAATGGTATTTTGTATTTCTCTCACTGTTGTATCCATCTGCAATATTAGTGAAGTTGACTCTACTGAAATATAAACAGAAGATGATGGTAAATGGTATTTGTAAGCATTTCTCTCATCATGATGTCATACTGGTGAAAAGCATGGACCCTGAAAACAATCAAGGAAAGAAGATATGTGACTAACTTGTAGGAGCCTGGATATGTTTCTCTGAGGTAGAGACCAAGAACATCAGCAACACTGCTACAGGAGGACAGCAATCCTGGCAAGCTTCCTGGGTGTGGGTCACTGTCAGCAGACATGAGCTGATTTAATCTAGTCAAGCGGCAAACACACTTCAGAACTTTACAGAGTCAGGAGACATGGAACAGTCAAGAAGGAAACACACTTACAGAGTCAGCAGACATGGAACAATCAAGCAGGAAACACAGAGTCAGCAAACATGGAACAGTCAAGCAGGAAACACACTTACAGAGTCCGCAGATATGGAACAGTCAAGCAGGAAACACACTTACAGAGTCAGCAGACAGACAATAGTCAAGCAGGAAACACATTAACAGAGTCAGCAGACAGACAAAAGTCACGCAGGAAACACACTTACAGAGTTAGCAGACATGGAACAGTCAAGCAGCAAACACACTAACAGTCAGCAAACACACTTACAGAGTCAGCAGACATGGAACAGTCAAGCAGGAAATACATTAACAGAGTCAGCAGACAGACAATAGTCAAGCAGGAAACACACTTACAGAGTCAGCAGACATGGAACAGTCAAGCAGCAAACACACTAACAGTCAGCAAACACACTTACAGAGTCAGCAGACATGGAACAGTCAAGCATGAAATACATTAACAGAGTCAGCAGACAGACAATAGTCAAGCAGGAAACACACTTACAGAGACAGCAGACATGGAACAGTCAAGCAGCAAACACACTAACAGTCAGCAAACACACTTACAGAGTCAGCAGACATGGAACAGTCAAGCAGGAAATACATTAACAGAGTCAGCAGACAGACAATAGTCAAGCCGGAAACACACTTACAGAGTCAGCAGACATGGAACAGTCAAGCAGCAAAAACACTAACAGTCAGTAAACACACTTACAGAATCAGCAGACAGGCAACAGTCAAGCAGCAAATACAAATAGAGAGTCAGCAGACATGGAACAGTCAAGCAGCAAACACACTTACAAAGTCAACAGACAGGCAACAGTCAAGCAGAAAACACACTTATAGAGCTAACAGACATGGAACAATCTAGCTGCAAACACACTTACAAAATCAGCAGACATGGAACAGTCAAGCAGCAAAAACACACTTACCGAGTCAGCAGACAGGCGACAGTCAAGCAGCAAACACACTAATGACATGTAATAGAGTTTCATATTGTACTACACACAAACATTGATGACACTGCTGTAGCCAGACAAATGCTGATGACCCAGCTGTAGCCATATAAACACTGATGACACAGCTGTAGTGAAAAACACTGATGATACTGCTGTAGTCATACAAACACTGATGATACAGATGTAGTCACACAAACACTGATGATACTGCTGTAGTCATACAAACACTGATGATACAGATGTAGTCACACAAAAACTGATGACACAGATGTAGTCACAAAAACGTTGATGACACAGCTGAATTCTTACTGAAATGCATAAACCAGATTACACATCAGATGTACAGCAGCAACTTGACAATGTGGTTTATGCATTTCAGCAACAAAAGGATTAATTTTGTGCGTCATTATATTTTTATTTAACTCTGTAGCAAGGCACCTGACGAGATCCAGCAAAACATGACAGGCAATAAATTGTGTAATGTATTGTGTCTACACTATTCAACTTACAATGGGAAAACACAGTTTTGAATTTCTTTTGTTTGTTTTAGCTGTTGGTCAGAATGTTCAGTTGTATGTATGTTTATTTTAGTTATTGGTTGATATGTTTATTTCTTGTATGCGTATTTCTTTGTTTTAGTCATTGTTTGGCACATTGGGTTGTTATATATGTGTTTGTATGATTGTTTTAGTCATTGTTTGGCACATTGGGTTGTTATATATGTGTTTGTATGATTGTTTTAGTCATTGTTTGGCACACTGGGTTGTTATATATGTGTTTGTATGATTGTTTTAGTTATTGGTTGGCACATTGGGTTGTTATATATGTGTTTGTATGATTGTTTTAGTCATTGTTTGGCACATTGGGTTATTATATATGTGTTTGTATGATTGTTTTAGTTATTGGTTGGCACATTGCGTTGTTATATATGTGTTTGTATGATTGTTTTAGTCATTGTTTGGCACATTGGGTTGTTATATATGTGTTTGTATGATTGTTTTAGTCATTGGTTGGCACATTGGGTTGTTATATATGTGTTTGTATGATTGTTTTAGTCATTGTTTGGCACATTGGGTTGTTATATATGTGTTTGTATGATTGTTTTAGTCATTGGTTGGCACATTGGGTTGTTATATATGCGTTTGTATGATTGTTTTAGTCATTGTTTGGCACATTGAGTTGTTATATATGTGTCTGAATGATTGTTTTAGTCATTGGTTGGCACATTGGGTTGTTATATATGTGTTTGTATGATTGTTTTAGTCATTGTTTGGCACATTGGGTTGTTATATATGTGTTTGTATGATTGTTTTAGTCATTGGTTGGCACATTGGGTTGTTATATATGTGTTTGTATGATTGTTTTAGTCATTGGTTGGCACATTGGGTTGTTATATATGTGTTTGTATGATTGCTTTAGTTATTGGTTGGCACATTGGGTTGTTATATATGTGTTTGTATGATTGTTTTAGTCACTGTTTGGCACATTGGGTTGTTATATATGTGTTTGTATGATTGTTTTAGTCATTGTTTGGCACATTGGGTTGTTATATATGTGTTTGTATGATTGTTTTAGTCATTGTTTGGCATATTGGGTTGTTATATATGTGTTTGTATGATTGTTTTAGTCATTGGTTGGCACATTGGGTTGTTATATATGTGTTTGTATGATTGTTTTAGTCATTGTTTGGCACATTGGGTTGTTATATATGTGTTTGTATGATTGTTTTAGTCATTGTTTGGCACATTGGGTTGTTATATATGTGTTTGTATGATTGTTTTAGTCATTGTTTGGCACATTGGGTCATTATATATGTGTTTGTATGATTGTTTTAGTGATTGGTTGGCACATTGGGTTGTTATATATGTGTTTGTATGATTGTTTTAGTTATTGGTCAACATGTTCAGTTGTTGTAGGTGTGTGTTTTTTTCTAAGTTGCTGGTCGACATGTTCAGCTGTACATGTGTTTTGTTTGTTTTAGTTGTTGATCAATATGTTCATTCATATGTACATTTTGTCTGTCACTGTTGTTGATCAAAATATTCAGTTGTTGTATGTGTGGTTGAGTTGTTGGTCAATATTTTCAGCTGTTGTATGTGCATTTGTTTAGCCCAGCTCGCTAGCGTAGTTGGCTAAACCTTACTTTGTGATGACCGGGTGACGAACTCCTTGTGGTCCGAGTTCACGCCTGGGGGTAGGCAGAAAAAGCCACATTTCTCCCAGATTTATGATTTTTATCATGGAATCAAGGCCGAAGGTTTGCGATATCACAGTACCGAGTCAAAGGATTAAGAACTGAATGTTTCTGGATATTTAAAAAAAAAAAATTGCATTTGCTTAAGTTGACATGTTTGGCTGTTGTATATTTTTTTTTTTGCTTGTTACTGTTGTTAATCAAAATGTTTATTGTTGTACGTGTGTTCATTTGTTTTAGTTGTTGGTCGACATGTTCAGTTGTTGTATGTGCTTTTTGTTTGTCGTTGTTCTCGATCAAAATGTTACTTTGTCAGTGTTGTTGGTCAGAATGTTCAACTGTTTTACATGTGTTTTGTCTGTCATTGTTTTTGATAAAAATGTTCAGTTTTGTTTTAGTTGTTGTATGTGAATTTGTTTTAGTTGTTGGTTGACATGTTTGGCTGTTGTATGCATGTTTTGTTTCTAACTGCTGATGGAAATGTTCAGTTGCTTTCTTATCACGGTTGTAGATCAAAATGTTAGGTGCTGTATGTGTTTTGTTTGTCATTGTTGTCAGATGACATGTTCAGTTGTTGTATGTGTTTTTATTTGTCACTGTTGTTGATCAAAATGTTCAGTTTTTGTATGTGTGATTTGTTTGTTTTAGTTGTTGGTTGAAATGTTGAACTGTTCTTTGTTTTTCACTATTGTTGATCAAAATGTTCAGTTGTTTATATGTGTTCTGTTTATTTTAGTTGTTGGTTGAAATGTTCTATTGTTGTATGTGTGTTTTGTGTGTCACTGTTACTGGTTGAAATGTTTCGTTGTAGTATGTGTGTTTAGTGTATCGTTGTTACTGGTCTAAATGTTCTGTTGTATGTGTATTTTTATTAGTTCAGTTAGATTTGACATTCATTGTCTTGGGTACAAGCTAGTGATCCTAACGCATGATTATATCACATACACACACTAGTTACAATAGCACTGCTTGTACTACAGGCTGTTTCATACTAACCACTTGGTCATGGCAGCAGGAACTCCACGAACTACACAGGAATTGAACAAGGGCAAAGAGGAACATTTCACATGAGGAGTTAATGACATCCATGGGTCTGTTTCACCAAAACCAAGTAAGCAGTCCGCAATTGAGCTCCCAAGCTTTAGTGGAAGTGGAAAACTTGTGTTCAATGCTGAGACCTATTTGAAGAAAATCAAAAACACAGAGAACAAGCTTTAATTCTCTTCAATGCCCCTTTATTACCTGATCACCCACTGGTTCATGTTCTTCTCTGTTCTCTACAATGTCCCTTTATTCCCTGATCACCCACTGGTTCATGTTCTCCTCTGTTCTATAAAATGCCCCTTTATTCCCTGATCACCACGGGGTCATGTTTTCCTCTGTTCTCTACAATGTCCCTTTATTCCCTGATCACCACTGGGTCATGTTTTTCTCTGTTCTCTACAATGCCCCTTTATTACCTGATCACCACTGGGTCATGTTCTTCTCTGTTCTCTACACTGCCCCCTTTATTGCCTGATCACCCACTGGTTCATGTTCCAGTCTGTTCTCTACACTGCCCCCTTTATTGCCTGATCACCCACTGGTTCATGTTCCCGTCTGTTCTCTACACTGCCCCCTTTATTACCTGATCACCCACTGGTTCATGTTCCCGTCTGTTCTCTACAATGCCCCTTTATTACCTGATCACCCACTGGTTCATGTTCTTCTCTGTTCTCTACACTGCCCCCTTTATTACCTGATCACCACTGGTTCATGTTCTTCTCTGTTCTCTACACTGCCCCCTTTATTCCCTGATCACCCACTGGTTCATGTTCTTCTCTGTTCTCTACACTGCCCCCTTTATTACCTGATCACCCACTGGTTCATGTTCCCTTCTCTTCTCTACAATGCCCCTTTATTACCTGAACACCTACTGGTTCATGTTCTTCCCTGCATTATACATAAAAAACAAAATGGTGCCTGAAAAAATAGTGCTTGGAAGGGCTAAATGTAAGATGGGCCGGCATGCCTAATTTGTAACCCGTTTGAAAATAAAGTTTGTTTGATCATACATTCATCCAGGAATACAACAGCCCAGAGTTTTACAACCAAGAATATAACCACCTAGTTTTACATCCAGGATTACAAGCATCTAGAGTTTTAGTCTAAAAATATAATCATTTAGGGCAGCAGTTCTCAACCTGCTAGTCGCGACCCTTTCACAGCGGTCGCCTAAGACCATAGAAAAACACATATTCATTAAAGTTATGAAGAAAAATAATTGTTTGGGGGTCACCACAACATGAGTGAACTGTATTAAAGGGTTGCTGCATTAGGTTGAGAGTCACTGATCTAGGGTTTTACATCCAAGAAAACAACCATCTAAAGTTTTACATCCAGGAATACAATCACCTAGAGTTTTACATTAAGGAATACAGCTACCTAGAGTTTTACATTAAAGAATACAACCACCTAGAGTTTTACATCTAAGGATACAAACAACTAGATTATTAAATCCAGGAATACAAAAACCTAGAGTTTTACATCCAGGAATACAACCACCTACTGTTTTACAACCAGGGATACAACAATCTGGAGTTTCCATTCAGGAACATAACTATAGGTAAAACAGCATACCTTTCTCCCATATGAACTCAACAGTGATGTGACATCAACCATCTTTTCTGGATGTGTTTCCTTTCTGAAGGGCATTGTCATTGTGTCCAGTGAAGCTGCCAATATGGCACTTGTGTGGTAGTCTGAGCTGGCCTGATAGAGAACAGAAACCTGTTACACATGAATGTCTGTGTGACAGTCTAAGCTGGCCTGATAGAGGACAGAAACGATGTCTCTGTGACAGTCTAAGCTGGCCTGATAGAGAGCAGAAACAATGTCTCTGTGACAGTCTAAGCTGGCCTGATAGAGAGCAGAAACAATGTCTCTGTGACAGTCTAAGCTGGCCTGATAGAGGACAGAAACAATGTCTCTGTGACAGTCTAAGCTGGCCTGATAGAGGACAAAAACAATGTCTCTGTGACAGTCTAAGCTGGCCTGATAGAGAGCAGAAACAATGTCTCTGTGACAGTCTAAGCTGGCCTGATAGAGGACAGAAACAATGTCTCTGTGACAGTCTAAGCTGGCCTGATAGAGGACAAAAACAATGTCTCTGTGACAGTCTAAGCTGGCCTGATAGAGAGCAGAAACAATGTCTCTGTGACAGTCTAAGCTGGCCTGATAGAGAACAGAAACAATGTCTCTGTGACAGTCTAAGCTGGCCTGATAGAGGACAGAAACAATGTCTCTGTGACAGTCTAAGCTGGCCTGATAGAGAACAGAAACAATGTCTCTGTGACAGTCTAAGCTAGCCTGATAGAGAACAGAAACAATGTCTCTGTGACAGTCTAAGCTGGCCTGATAGAGAGCAGAAACAATGTCTCTGTGACAGTCTAAGCTGGCCTGATAGAGAACAGAAACAATGTCTCTGTGACAGTCTAAGCTGGCCTGATAGAGAGCAGAAACAATGTCTGTGTGACAGTCTAAGCTGGCCTGATAGAGAGCAGAAACAATGTCTCTGTGACAGTCTAAGCTGGCCTGATAGAGAACAGAAACAATGTCTCTGTGACAGTCTAAGCTGGTCTGATAGAGAACAGAAACAATGTCTCTGTGACAGTCTAAGCTGGCCTGATAGAGGACAAAAACAATGTCTCTGTGACAGTCTAAGCTGGCCTGATAGAGAGCAGAAACAATGTCTCTGTAACAGTCTAAGCTGGCCTGATAGAGAGCATAAACAATGTCTCTGTAACAGTCTAAGCTGGCCTGATAGAGAGCATAAACAATGTCTCTGTAACAGTCTAAGCTGGCCTGATAGAGAGCAGAAACAATGTCTCTGTGACAGTCTAAGCTGGCCTGATAGAGAGCAGAAACAATGTCTCTGTGACAGTCTAAGCTGGCCTGATAGAGGACAGAAACAATGTCTCTGTGACAGTCTAAGCTGGTCTGATAGAGAGCAGAAACAATGTCTCTGTGAGTCTAAGCTGGCCTGATAGAGAGCAGAAACAACTTGTTACACATGAATGTGTGTCAGTTTAAGTTGTCCTGACAGAGGACAGAAACAACTTGTTACATACCGTTATTTCCTACAATACAACATACAAACATACCGTTTATTTGATAACAAACATAGAAACATACTGTGAATTCCTACAGTATAACACACAAACACACTATATATATATATATATAACATACAGTATAACACACAAACACACTGTATACATCCTACAGAATAACACACAAACATACCGTGTATTTCCTACAGAACAACACACAAACATACAGTGTATTTCCTACAATACAACACACAAACATACCGTGTATTTCCTACAGTATAACACACAAACACACTGTATATATCCTACAGAATAACACACAAACATATAGTGTATTTCCTACAGTATAACACACAAACACACTGTATATATCCTACAGAACAACACACAAACATACCATGTATTTCCTACAGTATAACACACAGACACACTGTATATATCCTACAGAACAACACACAAACATACAGTGTATTTCTTACAGTATAACACACAAACACACTGTATATATCCTACAGAAAAACACACAAACATACTGTGTATTTCCTACAGTATAACCCACAAACACACTGTATATATCCTACAGTACAATACACAAACATACAGTGTATTTCCTACAGAATAATAACACACAAACACACTATATATCTTACAGCACAATACACAAACATACAGTGTATTGTCTACAACACACAAACATAGTTTATTTCCTACACACACACATACTGGGTATTGCCTACAATAGAACACACAAACACACTGTATATATCCTACAATATTATATATATATATGTATATATATATATATATATATATATATATATATATATATATATATATATATATATATATGTATATATGTATATCAAGGGCATACAACTGTAGACCCATCATGGGGAAATCATCAGACTGCTATTTAATGTGACTTCAAGTGAAACTCACAGGGTCATTTGGATTAACATATAACATGAACTGCCTTGGTCACATGGCTTCACCTTCAGACCATGTCTGAAATTTACATGTAGTTTTCTCTTCTCAGTCATACTAAGCAGAACATTTTGTGTTCCTAGTGCTAGTCGGTGTCATGGCTCAGCCACTTTATGCTGTATTTTGTAAGTCTGCGGTGTGCTGAGTCATGGACAAGTGCTGTTGAGATGATTCTGATATTCCAGTGCTCACCAGTCAGCTACATGTGGTATTTGGGTAAATATACTGTCTTTTCATCAGCAAAACCACCAGATAATCTTTAGATGTCATTCTAGAGCCAGATGGCTGATGCTGCACCACTGTGGTGATGCTACCCATGTCTACAGTGATGGTTGAACACAGGCTTATCACTAGAAGAGCTGTATATTTCAACTTGCCAGTACTTGCTTTGGCATAACAAGTGTTGCTACCTCGTAAGGCATCCTGCTTTAAAAACATTAATAAGTACCTGTATTAAATGTATTTGGTTCAGAGGAGAAGATATTATTTTTGACCTGTTTGTCACATGTCAATCGTGAAGCTGGAGTTTATTATTACTGAAGGACAGGCTTTTATTGACTGTGAAAGACATGTACATGTTCACATCAAAGTTCATTAATCATCAGTGCGTAATTCTATTTGATATGGCAGACAAAAACTACACAAGTTTGAGTAATACTGTCTGTTGCAGTTTGAGTAATATCCCTTGCATGTACGCTGACTGGTTGAGCCTTCAGTCAGGTTCCATATATCATATCCCAGATATGAGTTTGGCCATTATAACGGTACATTAAACAACATGCCATTCAGATCAGAAGTTAGCAGCATTACATAGGTGGGTATATTGCAAAACTCTGTCTACCCTTCAATATAACACAGAAACATACTATACCCAGCAGTGTTATTCAACCTGTGGGCCTCTGGTATGTTGCACATATATCAAAACATAATGAAGAAGACAGCAAGCCAGGCTGGTAAACAAATGTGATCAGGCTGACAACCTACATTATACTCCAAATGTGGCATATGAATAGGAGGGCCAACACTCTTCCACAGAGCTGAAGCCAAGGACAGAGGAACAAACAGGGAACTGTCACCGCCACAATGATGGAGGCTGAGGGCAGTGTTCAAGATCCGGGCTGATCTCTCAGTAGCTGTCTGGATAAAAAAAAGTTTTAAAAAGTTAAAATTTGTGCCAGGTATCTCCATTTAGAAAGCCTGTATTTACAAGGTTAGGTTAGTTGCGCATCCTTTAAAGGACGCTGCAGAACCAACCCCAACAGCCCCTGGCTGTTGTGTGGTTTTTCTAGGCCAATTTACACCCAGTAGTTTGCGGTTGCTTTCTGGACGGTCAGTTTTCTTGATACCACTGTCGAAACCAACGCAAGGCGCATGGCCCGCAGCTGGGATCGAACCCGGCATCCCGGCATTACGAAGCGTTCGCATCGACTTAGCCACAGAGCCGACGTATTTACAAGACAAGTGTGTAATTTTGGTGAGTGACTTCAGTGATTGAGTTACATGCCTGTTTCATACAATACTTGTAACAACATAAAAGCTTTGTTTTCATGTCTTATGTCAGTTTTTGAGAAGAGCTGTGTTTTCATGTCTCATGTCAGTGTTTGAGAAGAGCTGTTAATTTCATGTCTCATGTCAGTGTTTGAGAAGAGCTGTAATTTCATGTCTCATGTCAGTTTTTGAGAAGAGCTGTGTTTTCATGTCTCATGTCAATGTTTGAAAAGAGCTGTTAATTTCATGTCTCATGTCAGTGTTTGAGAAGAGCTGTAATTTCATGTCTTATGTCAGTTTTTGAGAAGAGCTGTGTTTTCATGTCTCATGTCAGTGTTTAAGAAGAGCTGTTAATTTCATGTCTCATGTCAGTGTTTGAGAAGAGCTGTAATTTCATGTCTCATGTCAGTGTTTGAGAAGAGCTTTGTTTTCATGTCTTATGTCAGTTTTTGAGAAGAGCTGTGTTTTCATGTCCCATGTCAGTGTTTGAGAAAAGCTTTGTTTTCATGTCCCATGTCAGTGTTTGAGAAAAGCTGTGTTTTCATGTCCCATGTCAGTGTTTGAGAAGAGCTGTGTTTTCATGTCCCATGTCAGTGTTTGAGAAAAGCTGTGTTTTCATGTCCCATTTCAGTGTTTGAGAAAAGCTGTGTTTTCATGTCTTATGTCAGTGTTTGTAAAGACCTTTGTTTTCATGTCCCATGTCAGTGTTTGAGAACAGCTGTGTTTTCATGTCCCATGTCAGTGTTTGAGAAGAGCTGTTTTTTTATGTTCCATGTCAGTGTTTGAGAAGAGCTGTGTTTTCATGTCCCATGTCAGTGTTTGAGAAGAGCTGTGTTTTCATGTCCCATGTCAGTGTTTGAGAACATCTGTGTTTTCATGTCCCATGTCAGTGTTTGAGAACAGCTGTGTTTTCATGTCCCATGTCAGTGTTTGAGAACAGCTGTATTTTCATGTCCCATGTCAGTGTTTGAGAAGAGCTGTTTTTTTATGTTCCATGTCAGTGTTTGAGAAGAGCTGTGTTTTCATGTCCCATGTCAGTGTTTGAGAAGAGCTGTTTTTTTATGTTCCATGTCAGTGTTTGAGAAGAGCTGTGTTTTCATGTCCCATGTCAGTGTTTGAGAAGAGCTGTGTTTTCATGTCCCATGTCAGTGTTTGAGAACATCTGTGTTTTCATGTCCCATGTCAGTGTTTGAGAACAGCTGTGTTTTCATGTCCCATGTCAGTGTTTGAGAACAGCTGTATTTTCATGTCCCATGTCAGTGTTTGAGAACAGCTGTGTTTTCATGTCCCATGTCAGTGTTTGAGAAGAGCTTTGTTTTCATGTCCCATGTCAGTGTTTGAGAACAGCTGTGTTTTCATGTCCTAAGTCAGTGTTTGAGAAGAGCTTTGTTTTCATGTCCAAACCAACTCACGCATGTGCTCATTCATCTGTATATGTATGTGTGTGTCTGTATACGTGTATATACATCTGATGCAATGTTTTCTTTGAGATGTGATCCATGAACATGACTGAAACTAAAGATGACAATTATTTTGATATTCATAGTGAAGAAGTGACTGCCAGTTAAACAAATAAATTTAGAGTGTACAATACAAAGTAACAATTCAAACAAGTAAGCCTATTAATAATTCATGATGTAACAAATATATAAGATGTGAAACCAGTGTCATAAATGACTGTTATGATGTCTAAAACATCAAGTGACACTGGCTGAGATAATGCCTATTCATATTTTTCATCCTCAAGATAGTTAATTCACAAGGCTGAAATGACAGCACAAGATGGTGTGATCGAGTGGTCTGGAATAATATCCCCTGCTAATAACCACATTTCTATATAGTAGCAATATTATAAATTATTGATGATTAACGCTGCAATATGCAGCTGGGCGAACAAGATCCATTAGCTCTTTTTTTGCAATTCCTGCAGTCATTTGAAAACATGTTTTAACCTTGTCACTCCAAGAATGTGGATTATTTTGTCTTTTGACTTTTAAACATGGAAAAAACATCTTTTGGACAGTGGCCTATACACCTTAAAAAAAAGACTTTGGGTGATGGCCAATACGCTTAAATAACAGATTTGGGTGATGGCCAATACGCTTAAATAACAGATTTGGGTGATGGCCAATACGCTTAAATAACAGATTTGGGTGATGGCCAATACGCTTAAATAACAGATTTGGGTGATGGCCAATACGCTTAAATAACAGATTTGGGTGATGGCCAATACGCTTAAATAACAGATTTGGGTGATGGCCAATACGCTTAAATAACAGATTTGGGTGATGGCCAATACGCTTAAATAACAGATTTGGGTGATGGCCAATACGCTTAAATTACAGATTTGGGTGATGGCCAATACGCTTAAATAACAGATTTGGGTGATGGCCAATACGCTTAAATAACAGATTTGGGCAATGGCCAATATGCTTAAATAACAGATTTGGGCAATGGCCAATATGCCTAAATAACAGATTTGGGTGATGGCCAATATGCCTAAATAACAGATTTGGGTGATGGCCAATACGCTTAAATAACAGATTTGGGCAATGGCCAATATGCCTAAATAACAGTCTTTAGCTAATGATTTGTGCTTTCACTCGCACATTCCCATTTTTTTTGGTTGTTCCCTGTAGTTCCCACAAAAATTCTAGGAATAAGCTTGAGAATAAAACATATATATAGTTACAAACAATATGACAGCATAGAAAAAAAAGTACAACAGAAACTATTTACATTTTAGAAGCAGTATGTCCCATCATGTAATCACATAAACCTCTGTAAATTTAAATCATTAAGTGAACTTGGCCAGTTTTTTTTTTCTTGGATGATTTATCCAGCAAGGATGTATCTTTTGGACTTTCCTACAGTTACTCAGGAAAACATTTGCTAGAGATGGCAGCACTTTGGAAGCAATGTTTACTTTAGAACAACCCTAACTACAGACATCACCTATTTCATAATTAAAATATATGTGCAGTAAATTCAACATGAAGATCAATGTAAAAAAACTGAAACAATGCAAGTTAGTAGAACCCCTGCCCCACAACACATACAATTGAATGGTTCTGCTCTGAATCAAGTTAGGGAGTTTAAATATCTAGGAAGTATGAGCACAGAAGATGGTAGAATTGACAGAGAAATAGAAATCAGATGTCAGAAAGCAACAGCACTTATATACCAATTGTCACCATTATTAATACATCCAAGTATAACTATGATTGCAAAGAGACAGATTATTAATAGCATATTCATTCCAGTGCCAAACATGGACACTATCTAAAGCCCATATATGCAAAATCACCACCTGCAAGATGAGGTGTCTGAGAAAAGCAGCCAACCTAATCATCCGAGATCGAGTAAATAATGAAACTATCAGACAAATTGTGGAAACAACAATTTGTACTAGATTCAGCGAGAAACGTTAGAATGCAGCCAGATCAAATACCATCACAAGCACTACATCTCAGAAGATTAGCTACAAGAGCAAGAGGACCGCCGTGGAAAACATGGATCAACAACATTAAAGACACTTGGTGCCTCCACAGCATGACAGTGGCCAGTGGCAACCAACGTGCACTGGATCGCAAATTATTCCTCCCTGCGACGCTTAACGGCAGAAGTGGTTTATGATGACGATGATGATATATGCGTGTAAACTGCACAAAACAATATGCATAAGCAATTTTTTGTGATGTCTGCAGACTAGACATTTTATACTTTATGTTTCTATGTTGTCATATTGTGTGTAATTATATATATGTTTAAATCTCAAACTTAATCCTAGAATTTTTGTGGGGATGACAGGAAACACACTAAAAAAAGGGACTGTCTGAGTGAAAATTTAAAGTATTGATAGCCTGTTTTGGTGACATCAGCAGCATGGCCCGTCAGATGCAGACGGTATTGCGGCAGCTGAGGAAATCGGGTGGAAAAAATTTTGTCCAGTGGGGGTTGGGGTACAGGTGGGGGAGGAGTATCAGACCTGTCTTTGTTGTGAGGTCAATGGGGAGGACATCCTAAAGGAAAACAATACTGATAGCAGTGTATATTTATTTACATATTTAATTGCAAAATTCTGCATACAAGACAACCTTGGATGCTAAACTTTAAAAATTCAGGAATAAATATTGTCTTATAAACTGAAAAATAAGGTAACTGCTGTGTCAGTGTATCTGTAAAAAACAGCTGTGCCAGTGTGTCTATACTATAAAATAGCTGCATCAGCGTGTCTATACTGTAAAGTAACTGCTGCATCAGTGTATCTATAAAGTTGGTGCAGCATAAGTATATCTATAAAGTAGGTGTTGTGATAGTGTATCTATAAAGTAGGTGTTGTGATAGTATATCTATAAAGTAGGTGTTGTGATAGTGTATCTATAAAGTAGGTGCGGCATCGGTATATTTATAAAGTAACTGCTGCGTCAGTGCATCTATAAAGTAACTGCTGTGTCAGTGCATCTATAAAGTAACTGCTGCATCAGTGTATCTATAAAGTAGCTGCTGCATAAGTGTATCTATAAAGTAAGTCCTGTGGTAGTATATAAAGTAGGTGCTGCATCAGTGTATCTATAAAGTAGGTGTTGCACTGGTGTATCTAAAAAGTAGGTGCTGCATCAGTGCATCTATAAAGTAACTGCTGCATCAGTGCATCTATAAAGTAACTACTGCATAAGTATATCTATAAAGTAGATGCCATTGTAGTGTATCTATAAAGTAGGTGCTGCATGAGTGTATCTATAAAGTACCTGCTGCATCAGTGTATCTATAAAGTACCTGCTGCATCAGTGTATCTATAAAGTAGATGCCATTGTAGTGTATCTATAAAGTAGCTGCCGCGTCAATGTATCTAAAGAGACAGTTATCAGTAAGTGACTGCTGCTTACCTGATCACAAGGACTTGCCGGAGTTACAGCAAAGCTGAGTCTTGATTTTGAGGCGAACTCGTCAGATAAATAAGACAGTACAGAGGCAGCCACTCCACCAAATGCATTATAGTTGTCAAGAAGTATCTGGAAGCCCTGCGAATGAAAATACCAGATGGTGCATGTAAAAAATCACTGGAACATGAGACAAATTAAAAATGCTTTTGGTGTTGCAGTAGTTGTTGGTTCAGTGCTTTCGCTATCGTCATTCTGTGTGCATGTACAAAGATTGTCATGCTATCAATGTATCTTCTCCTTGGGCTTGCATTGCCATCACAATCTCGTAGGTGAAGTGTGGGCACCTGCTTGTTTTGCTATCAGAATCTACAATGCGTGGGGTGGTGCACCTCCTAGCTCTGCTATCACAATCCTGTAGGTGTGGTGTTGGCACCTCCTTGCTCTGCTTTCAGAATCTTTAGGTGTGGAGTGGGCACCTCCTGGTTCTGCTATCAGAATCCCTCAGGTGTGGTCTGGGCACCACCTGGCTCTGCTATCAGAATCATATAGGTGTGGTGTGGGCACCACCTGGCTCTGCTATCAGAATCATATAGGTGTGGTGTGGGCACCACCTGGCTCTGCTATCAGAATCATATAGGTGTGGTGTGGGCACCACCTGGCTCTGCTATCAGAATCCTATAGGTGTGGAGTGGGCACCTCCTGGTTCTGCTATCAGAATCCCTCAGGTGTGGTCTGGGCACCACCTGGCTCTGCTATCAGAATCATATAGGTGTGGTGTGGGCACAACCTGGCTCTGCTATCAGAATCCCTTAGGTGTGGTCTGGGCACCACCTGGCTCTGCTATCAGAATCATATAGGTGTGGTGTGGGCACCACCTGGCTCTGCTATCAGAATCATATAGGTGTGGTGTGGGCACCACCTGGCTCTGCTATCAGAATCCTATAGGTGTGGTGTGGGCACCACCTGGCTCTGCTATCAGAATCCCTTAGATGTGGTGTGGGCACCACCTGGCTCTGCTATCAGAATCATATAGGTGTGGTCTGGGCACCACCTGGCTCTGCTATCAGAATCCTATAGGTGTGGTGTGGGCACCACCTGGCTCTGCTATCAGAATCCCTTAGGTGTGGTGTGGGCACCACCTGGCTCTGCTATCAGAATCATATAGGTGTGGTGTGGGCACCACCTGGCTCTGCTATCAGAATCACTTAGGTGTGGTGTGGGCACTTTCTGGCTTTGCTATCAGAATCCTATAGGTGTGGTGTGGACACTTTCTGGCTCTGCTATCAGAATCCTATAGGTGTGGTGTGGACACTTTCTGGCTCTGCTATAGGAATCCTATAGGTGTGGTTTGGGCACCTCCTGGCTCTGCTATAGGAATCCTATAGGTGTGGTGTGGGCACTGCCTGGATCTGCTATAGGAATCCTATAGGTGTGGTTTGGGCACCTCCTAGCTATGCTATCAGAATCCCTTAAGTGTTGTGTGGGCATCTCCTGGCTCTGCTGTTAGAATCTCTTAGGTGTGGTGTCTATATTAGTAACTGGCATTGCTTCATTCTAACAAGATGTCTAAACTATTTTATATATTTTTTTTTAAGTAATTGCACAAGGTATTGTTCCCACAATCTAACTGTGTAATTTCTTACTTGGTATCAGGAAGGTAAATTGGCTTTTTCTACAAGTATCATATTTCACACATACTGATACACACATTAATTTGTTTTAGTGTCCAGGTTTAGCATCTGCAGCACAAAATAATTCTTCAATGTATACTTAATAATAAAAACAGAAACAAAAAGCAGTTGTCACAGCAGCTGGTGAAACGTCAAACTGTTTTAGGTGAAAAAGATTAAGAATGTTGCATTATTTCCATATACCTGTTAAAAATCTACACCAAGAAGCAGAAAATGTAACGAGAATTGTCAAAAAAATAAATAAAACGTAACAATCTGTATTCAGTCAAAAGTGTTAGAAATCTGATTCAAGAACCCAGTTATGCAGATGAGACAAAGCTTCTCTTAACAATGAAAAAGGATTATAATGGTTAATTATGTCAGTTGAAAGATACAATAAAGATCACCTTTGTTTTTTTTTTTTTAAAGTTAATTGGGTATCCTTTACAAGACTTTGCAGAACTAACCCCAGGATTTTTTTTTTGTGGCTGTGTGGTGTTACTAGGCAAATTTTATGTCTAGTAGTTTGCCACTGCTTTCTAAACAGTGAGCTCTCGGTACCACTGTGGAAACCAAAACAAGATATGCTTCCAAATTGCTTGCAGCTACAAAAAGGCTCTATATGGGAGAAACCTTGATGAATTTGTTTATTTCCTCACTAACCATTTTTATGCTCTAGTATATACATCCATGTAAACTTACATATTTATTGATATTCTGTTTATTTGATACAAGAAACATGAATTAGTTCATTTGATTATTATATTTAATTAATTGATGTCTTCATCTGAAATCTCAGCCAGCATGGTGGGATTTGATTAATGAAGGAAACAGTTCTATATTTATTATACCTGATCATTACTAGGTTTATTTATCCTCAGGGTGATTTTATTTTTGTAAAGCACGGCCCTGATTTAATTTAGATTTAGTCCAGAGAATTCTGAGACTAATTTAAGAGTTTGAAAAGTGAATACCATGTGGTGGCTAAATTTGTTGGATTCATACTGTCGGAAAAGAAGAAGGGAGGTGTAAGGCCCATACTTGTAAAACTATTGTTATATATAAAACCCCATTATCAGAAAATATTTTCAGTACCACTGTGTGTGTGGCCCTACAGTTTTAATAATTACATTTCACCCTTCCCAACTTCTTAACTCTATTGAATAAGCATTAGCACAAGCATTCATTCACAGTTAAACTGGAGCTAGTGTTGAATATTTTATAAAAATAATATGACAGATGGGAAACCCACTGTCATCTATGATTATGTTATGACATCTATCCCAGCACGCAGTTATATTGATTGAGATATGTCCAGTCCTAATTATTTTCAAACTGCCTAACGCACATGTTATGAGTTTCACACCCATGTATTCACTCCGTGATTCCAATTCTTTGTGATGTGAACCCATGTGGTTGAAATGAGAATATACTTTGAAACATGATTGTGTTTAAGCATGTTAACCCCTGAAAGGAGCACTAATATAAAGAGAGCAGAACAATTCACACAGCTGACTGTTCTCTCTCAATGATGTGAAACTCATGTTCTTGGAAATAATATCCTTGAGAAACTGATGTGGTTGGAATATTTCTTCCATCAGGAGTATAAATTCTGTTTCCGTAAATAATATCCTAAACCCCACTCAAGAATAGGAAAACATGTTACTAATGTACCCCGTATGTGTGTGTAGTGTAACAGTATATGAAAACTGGAGGCAGTGTGGCCTTCTGTCAGAACTTTCCCAACTGCTTTTACAGGGACTGTTTAATTTCTCTAGTTTCAGGTGGAAGTTCCAGTGTAGCTGGAGGTGTCAGATTGTCTAGGCTGGACTAGAAAATTTGACCTGCCTAAAGTGTCTCCAAAGCTGAGCCAGAAGCTGACTCAAGGAGCATTAACAACAGATGAGTGGACATATCAGTCCAATGTCAATCCATAACTTTTTTTTTATATATCCCCATAAAGTCTAATGATTTGACTTTTCCATGTTAAATATTATAGATGTTAATTATCATTCCAGTTTTCTGGAGTTAATTTTAACCATAATTTATAAGTCAGTGAATAATAGACAGCATATTTAACAGGAGGGAATCAGATGCGGGCAAACCCCAAAACCTCTCCTTGAACCAGAAAGGCTGGGAGATAGATGAGAACTTTGAGGATGTTTCACTGTTTGTGATTCAAACCCCAAAACCTCTCCTGGAACCAGAAATGCTGGGAGATAGATCCGAACTTTGAGGATGTTTCACTGTTTGTGATTCAAACCCCAAAACCTCTCCTGGAACCAGAAAGGCTGGGAGATAGATCAGAACTTTGAGGATGTTTCACTGTTTGTGATTCAAACCCCAAAACCTCTCCTGGAACCAGAAAGGCTGGGAGATAGATCAGAACTTTGAGGATGTTTCACTGTTTGTGATTCAAACCCCGAAACCTCTCCTGGAACCAGAAAGGCTGGGAGATAGATCAGAACTTTGAGGATGTTTCACTGTTTGTGATTCCCTCTGCAGGCTGCACATAGTGCATTTGCTATAACAAAGCCAATTACCATGCCACAGAGCCCGGGGGGGAGGGGTAGTAGTAGCCTCATGTGCAGTTGGGCAGCATTGAAAAAAATGAAGTTAACTCCTGCTGGGTACACAATGAAGAGAGCTAGTGTAAATGTAGATTGCCTAGGCAGAATATCAGGAAGCTAAGAAGCTTCTAGAAACATACACAATAATTTCAATTCAACTGACCCATTTTTTGTATCCATATGGAATGGTGGAAAAAAATACTGTATCTGTTAAGTCCAGTTTTTGGAGATACTTTTGTAGTCATTTGTTGATTAGTTCATATTGCCAGAATTTATTCATTAGTTCTTGCTGTCAGGATATGTTCAATAGTTCTTGCTGCCAGGATTTGTTCATTAGTTCATGTTGCCAGGATCTGTTCACTAGTTCTTGTTGCCAGGATCTGTTCATTAGTTTTTGATGCCAGGATTTTGTACTGCGAGTGAAAGCAGGTGACCATCTTTGAAATGTAAGATCTCGAAGAATTGAATCTGTTGCTTCAAATAAGGTAAGAGTTACCAAAGTTGTCACAAATGCTAGAATAGGTCCATGAAGACAACTGTTTTAAGTGTATGCAATATCACAAGTGGATAATGTAATGAGTGGATAATAATACTGACTGTTCATGAAATGTCAAAGGAAGTAGAAATCTGTAAACGTTTATGCTATGTAACTTGAAAAAACAACAACCTGAAAAGTCATCTGTTGCTGCAAAATTAGTTTCAAAAACAAAATAAAGAAACCTTGTGCATGAAATATAAGGAGACAGGAAGCTGGTGAATGATCCAAAGTCTTTCTGGTGGAGCATGAAGGCAATGTTATTCTGCACAGGAAGATGTTTGTTGCTAAAGATGCCTAGCTGCAAACAAGGAGGGAGACAAATGAGTGTGGAAGATACCTACTTGTAAAAAGTCACACTCTTCGGCGAAGTAACGAATGTTGTCCTCTATGATGTCCCACTGACGCTTGTCACTACACACTTGTTGTCCAACACCAAAAATGTTGAAAGGCTGATCAGGGCTGGAAAAACAAAACACAACAGTTGAGGATAATGATGCTATACAAGATCTGTTTAATATGTATGTTACACAATCGACATATCTGCACATTGGATATTCCCATGCGCACTCAGTCCTCCAATGCTGCAGCCACTCAAAGGCACCTCTACTGACTGTTCTAATGAGGAGTTGGCTATAGTATCTGCTGTCTTTACATAGATGTGCTTCACAATGCTTAAATCCTTGGTCATGTAGTCATGTTAGCGTCAGAGATTCAAGATTATCCCCATAACCTAGTCCGCACAGTGTTGATGACATCAGCTCTGTCTATGCTTCTTCCCGTTTGCACTGGTACATTACTTGCCAGTTGGTCAGCTCTTTCATTACAGTTTACTTCTACGTGCCCAGGTATGTAAATTTAAATAATGGAGGTTAGCCGCAACTTCTGAATGCTTTCTACCCATGTGGAGTGTAGATTACCTGTTGCGATTTTCTGAAACATGTTCATCAAGTCTGAAACAATTACTATGTGTGTGGCCGCTTGTTCTGCTAACCATGCGAGTGCTCTGGAAGCAGCAGTTATCTCCATGGTCGTGCTAACATAGGTGCATGGTAAGCACAGCGTCCTCTTCTATTTTTTTTAACCTATTTTTGTGCTGTGTAAGCCTATGCTGATATCGACCCACCTGTGTATAATGATATCTTCTGGGCATGAATGCTCATGAATCAGCATTTATCTCGGCATCTATAGCCGCAGGTATCTGACTCCTGCAGTACCTCCTCAGTGTTATGAAAACCTTAGACAAGTCGTGCATGTCTACTTGTGTATCCACCTATTCTTTCTGTGACTGATCTCGTCTTGCTGGATTAATTTTATACCTCGACCATCCAGGAGCATCCTCTTTTCAGATGCATATCTTTTATATCATTGATAGCCTTGTGCAGTGGGTGGCTGATATCTGTTGGTATACTCAGGGTACGCCTTTACCTGTGCCACTTTATGTCAGGTGGCCATTGTTGGTAAACCCAGGACATACCCCATAGCCTGGCAGGAGGTGTCTTTTGTGCAGCCAAGTTTGAGTCTTATGAACTCATTTTGTACCCAATCCAGTCTTTCTAGCTGGGTTCTGCTAATAGTGAGGATGCCCAGGCTGTAGTCTATAATACTTAGCATGTCCCTGATAGAACAGGAAAAGTAGGTGTTGTTCAATGTCGCCGTATGGCATCGCCTTCAGCACCATCAAAACTTTCCTGGCTTCAACTATGACACTGTCTATGTCATGCCTGTATAACAAACATCTGTTAAAAATTATGCCAAGATATCATATTGTGTTTATTCTTTCTATGTCCATACCACATATGTTCACGACTGGTGTAGGTGTATTAACAATGTGGATATTTGAGAAGAACCATATTAACCATGTTAAGAAAGCATTTGCCTGGTTTACCTGTGATCTTGATTCCTGACATCACTCACTGAGTTGGTCTAATTTGTGCTGTAGCGTTGTAATTTCAAGCCTGTTTCTTCCACATGGATATCGTCTGCGAACGACACTGTTTTGCCCAGACCTACTATTGTGCACTGGCATTGTAGCCAAATCATTGTACCTCATAACGGTAATCATGGTACTGTAGCCAAATCATAGTACCCCTCCATATGATTCTCATGGCACTGTAGCCAACTCATTTTACCACTCTTTTTGGTTCTCATGGCATTGTAGACAAATCATTATACCACTCTTATTTTGTGCAATAACCATGTAATTGGAGGTTAAGAAAAGAATTCTCACACGTCATAAGGAGCCAGTTTTTAACATAAGGCTGTGAATCTGGGACAATTAATAAACAAGCCTAACAATATCTTGAGACATCAGAGATGTGGTTTTACAGAAGGATCCTTAAAATTCCTTGGACAGCTAAGAAGTGCAACCTAGATGTTTTGAAAGAGGCGACTGCTCGAAGACAACTTATCACAAATGTCAGAAAGAGACAGTCATATTTTTTGGTCATGTTATGAGAGGAAGGAAACTAAAACATGTTGTGACTACCGGAAAGATCTGTGGAAAGAGAGACAGAGGAAGACTGCATATGATCATATTTGTGTGTGTGTGTGCGCGCGCGTGCGTGCGTGCGTGTATGTATGTATATTCATGTCACCTCCTTGTCCGATATGAACGATTTACCGAATAACAGTAGCCAGTACCACCTGCTGGGCGGCATATACCAAAGCTGACATCCCATATTGTTCCACGTCTTTTGTGGAGGAGCACATTGGGGAGGAAACTAGCCTTATCCTAGGATGAGGAAATGCAACCTGAAAACTTTGTTGCTTTTACTGATCTTACCAGGGCATTTGATTTGGTTAATCGAAAAAGTCTGTTCAACATGCTGAAGAAGATTGTGTGTCTACCTACCCTCCTGAGCATTACTGAGTCATCCCACACAGGTATGAAAGGTACAATCAACTTTGATGCTGTAACATGGAAATAGTTTGTAATCAACAATGGAGTGAAGCAGCTATATGTACTTGCTCCTACCCTCTTTGGGATATACTTTGAACTTCTGAAACATGCCTTTTGAGATCAGAAGTGTGGTACATTCATCTGTTTTCAATCTGATAGCAGCCTTTACAATGCTCATAGGCGGAATGCTAAAAACCAGGATCAGAAAGCTACTTATCAGAAAGCTGCTGTTTGCAGATGATGCAGCAAAAACCACTCGCTCAGAGAAGAAGCTGGACTGTTCACTGTCTGCATTTGCTGACGCATGCTGTGAATTTGGACTTATGATCAGCAAAAAAGAGACAAATGTTATGTTGGCTGGGTCACACCCGGAGAATGGAGGATGGCAGAGTCCCTACGGGAGCCCTCTTCGGCGAATTAAAGTTGGGTAGAAGATGTCGAGGCCGACCTCTACTATGATATAAAGATATGCGCAAGTGGGACATGAATGATACAGGTACAGAAGCTAGTATGTCAACAACAACTCAGCTGTCATGGCGAAATCTTGAAGTTATCATACTGACAAAAACTTACCTATTTAAATGTAATCTAGAAGCTAGTATGTCAACAAGAACTCAGCTGTCATGGTGATAATCTTGAAGTTATTTTACTGACAAGATTCAAGATAATCTAGAAGCTAGTATGTCAGCAAGAACTCAGCTGTCATGGTGATAATCTTGAAGTTATTTTACTGACAAGATTCAACATAATCTAGAAGCTAGTATGTCAACAAGAACTCAGCTGTCATGGTGATAATCTTGAAGTTATTTTACTGACAAGATTCAACATAATGTAGAAGCTAGTTTGTCAGCAAGAACTCACTGATTATGATGATAATCTTGAAGAAGATGTATCGAGCGAGGGTGAAAACCTGTTTGTAGGAAATCTGACCACACTTGGATATCACTGTCAAGGTTGTAGAATCTTTTCCCAAATACTTTTTCTTCCGTTTTTGCATCACTGTCTGTTTCTGTAAAGCAAGGCCATTTCTAGTCAATTAATGCCATGTACCTATGTCATTCTTTGGGTTAGATCAGATATTATACTTAGCACACAACAAAATATTTACTTTCAGTTCCAACACCTGTCTTCAATTTGTTACCCAAAACTGTAATAACACATCAGCATATGTAAGTTGTGCTCCAAATGTTAGCTGCAGCCACCTCACATCACAAGCCATGTGGCCACTAGAATTCATCTTCAGTCAATAGTAAACATTCACAGAATTCATCTTCAGTCAATAGTAAACATTCACAGAAATCATCTTCAGTCAATAGTAAACATTCACAGAAATCATCTTCAGTCAATAGTAAACATTCACAATGCTGACTATAAGATTCAATTGTGTGTGATAAATATTTCACACAAATTCTTCACCTTGGGTTTCATTGCCAAAATTTATCCACATCTAAAATCAGGTTTTTTAGACACTAGTATTCCAGGTAACTATAGACAGATCTCCCTGTTATCATCATCATTAAAACTACTAGAAAAACATATTCATAACATTTCAATATTTAGATGGCAACAGACTTATAGTGGATAACCAATCAGGGTTTTTATCAAAATATTTTCGCCACACTGCCTTAACAAACATGACCGAAAAGTGACCTCGAAATATCAATGTTGAGAAAAATTCTGTTTATAGAATTTGATAAAGCTACTGACATGACAGACCATAATATTCTTATAAGAAAATTAGAAACAATGAAATTTAACCCTAGGCTAATAAAGTTAATAAAAAGCTTTTCGTTAAATAGAAAACAAGTAACCTCACACAAAAAAATCCCTATTGCGGTACACTGCCTCAAATACTGGGCTTTCTAAAGGCTCGATTCTCTGCGTTCTGTTTTTTGGTATTTACATAATTGATCTTCCCTTATGTCTGTCGTCAACCTGGAATTTATTTGCGGACAACTATACCATCTGTACAAATGCTTAAACATGTAATGTACTAGAGTTGTCAATACAACATAAATTAAATAATGTAGTCAAAAGGTGCAGTGCAAACCGTATGCAAGTAAATAGGAATTTAAAAAAATCTAAGCTTATAATGACCAGACAAAAACTATATAGTTAAATTAACAAAGGGCGCTTCAACTCTACATTGAGAGGACTCGAGTAGAAAGTGTAACTGAGCACAAAGATCTGGTACTGGTAATTGATGCAATCTGACCTTCAACTCTCATGTACATGAACTAGTGAAACAAACAGCTAAAATAGGTTTACCAAATTACAAAAATTAAAAACTTTCTTGATGAAAACACAAGAAAGATATTCTATATTTCTCACCTCAACATATAGATCTATTGCTCTACAACATGGGATGTCTATTTCAGTTCTGTTATCAAGTAGCTCTTGTCACTGCAAAAGCGCACCATTCACTTAATCTATATTGATAAAAATTTTAATTTTCCGTGGTCGTTAACTATAGACTCGGAAACTAATGAACTGATTGCTTTCAAATTTTCACACAACATTGCCTTTGACTCAACGCGTGATTTTATGTGAAATAAATCGCATAAACCATGAACAACGTAGCTCCAGCAACGATCAAATTATTATTTGTTTCGCTGCTGGCCCAGATTTGTTTTTAGTTAATCGGCCACCTTTGAATGCGGAGCAGGTCTGCCAATAGCTGCCTTTTCCCCCATGATACATCTCCGACATTTCTTTACTGATCGTTTTCAAATTTTCACACAACGCTGCCTTATACTCTGTGCATGTTTGTATGTATTAGTGTTGCACAAACCACGAATGACGTAGCTCCTGCAACGATCAATTTATTATTTGTTATGTTGCCGGCCCGGATTTGTTTTAGCTGATTGGCCACCTTTGACTGTGTGGGTGTAAAACACTGAACTTTACCTTATTAAATAACTAGCTGTACCCGGCCTCGCGTTGCTGTGGCCCAGAATGGTGAAAAATAATCCATGGTGAAATAATCAAAATTGAAATAGTTAAGAAATTATAACATTAAAATAATATTTTAAGCTCTCTCAGCTAACGGTGTCTGGCATAACCACCCCCGCTCTCCCAATAATATTTCCCTCTCCGAAAGATTGAATAATCATCACCTGGCGAAGTCATATCTCCCTCTCCGAAGGATTGAAAAATCATCCATGGCGAAATTATTAGAATAGAAATATTTAAGAAATGAGAACTGTAAAATAATATTTTAAGCTCTCTCAGCTAATTGTGTCTGGCATAACGCCCCCCACCACTAATCATATCTCCATCTCCGAAGGATTGAAAAATCATCACCAAGTGGCCAAGTCATTGTGTAGGTCGGTGTAGAAAAAAGGAGTTAGCGCCGCATGCTGTCGCCACGGACTATTTAGTGTAATTTTGCCTCCGACATAGGAAAAAAACAACTTCATCACGTAACCAGTGATGGAACCCACAGTTAAAAGTACACTATACTCATGAATAGCGGAGAAAAATACCCTGCACCTGTCATCTCTCCCTCTCTGAGGGAACGATTTTTAACTGACCTTGGCATCCGTGTCAACCCAAACTAAACTGGACTGTAAGCCATCTTAGTTAACAGTTTCTGTCATCACCGAATAGTTCGATCGCGAAGCGTCGTGAGTAGGCTAATTAGGACTTTACTGAAATCGGATGTCTTTGGGCGAAAGGCGCAGATATCGCAGCCTAGCTGTAAACCACAACACAACGTGGCAACCACTCTTTTAAGGAAAAAATAACAATTATCACCCAGCGGGGAATCGAACACCGGTCACCCGCGTGAAGGATGACATACAACTATACAACCGACGACTGAAGAGTTTAGGTAAGATATCGCAGCCTAGCTGTAAACCCCAACACAATGTGCCAACGGCCCTCTCGAGGGTGAACGAAGATTACCCGTGACATGACCATTGAGCATCATGTCGCCGCTGTCGCAGGCTAGCTGTAAACCCCAAAACTGAAAAAGGTGTAGATATCGCAGCCTAGCCATAAACCACAACACAACGTGCCAGCCGCCCAGTTAGGGGCTAACAAAAAAAAACTATATCATCTAGCGGGGAATCAAACGCGGGTCGACGGCATGATAGGCAGAATAGTTAACAACTACGCTACCAAACACTCAAGCAAACAGTGAAAATGAAATTATAAAATAATGCAAAGTTCAATAAGAGCTCAGCAGTCATATATGACCAATCAACTAAAAACAAATACGGGCCGGCAACGAAACAAATTATGATTTGACCGTTGCTGGAGCTACGTCGTTCGTGATTTTCTTTTCCACTAGACACCCTGACCAGCTCACCGAGGCCTATCCCCCACAACGTTTCGTTGTGTCCTGAGCCAGCTTGAGGCCCTCTTAGCAGCCTCACCCAATTGTTTTAGTGCTCATTTGCACTCATTTCCTCGCAAGCCTAGTTGTTTAATCACATTGTACAATGAAGTGGTAACGAGACCTCTTGCGCCTACCTCGACGGCGAAGATTCATACTGTGTACGCTTCGTCTCTCCTCAAACCAGCCGCTAATTCACTGTATTTCTCGAGCTTGTACATGTGGCTTTCGTCCATTAGTGACTCATACGGCAAGGTCAGCTCAATCAGGATGAGCTGACGTTTCTCCGCAGGACTATGTCGGATGGCAGGCCAGTCTTCCAGATTAACTCAGGGTACTTTTCATGGCCAGGCAGATCAACCGCAACCAGTCATTCGCATTGTCAAGCATCGATGGAGCGTATGCGACTTTGTTTAAATTACCTTTATAAATCTACCCAGCCTTAAGGAAGAGCACGGGGACGACGGTAGGACTGGCCCTCACATTGGCCCTCCTAGCTTGGTCCACAACGGCCGCTAACTCTTTTAGCACCTTGTTGTGGCGCCAAGTGTACCAGCCCTGACCTAGGGCTTTTCTGCACGTGGACAATGCGCGCTCGAGCGTCTGTTTAGCTTTACATAGCAGGCATGTCGGGTCGCTAGCCGCACTCCACTTTACCATGTTAACACCGGACAGTAATACATCGTAGGCAGATCGTATGATAAAGCTCAGTTGCAGGGGGGCCATTCGCCAGATCTTACCCCATGTGAGTACTCGTGGCAAAGCGCTCTCTAGGCCGATCCACTGGCCTTGTTGTGACTGTTGCGCGGCTTTCTGGACCTGAACCTCGTTTTCGGTGTCCCTAATCTGCTGTATCACCATGTCTCTGCGCTCTTTGGCTGTGGCTTTGGACCTCCAACTGACTTTCCCGTGCCCTAGGCCTTGGCGGTCGGTTTGAGTGTAACCCATCACTTCTCTTAATTTTAGTGCATTCTGGGCAGATTCGACTGCATCTAGGACTTCCATTTCCTGTCTTTAGAACGGGCTGGACAGCAGTGACAGTTGGGTCTGAAGACTCCCGCAGCAACATGGCGAGTCTTACTTTGCCGACTTTAAAACTCTTTGGTTATTCATTTGAACGGGAGTACCAGCTTCGTCTGTTTAAAATACAGAGCGACATCAGTCAGACAAGGTGGTGCTCCCAACCACTTCCTCATCGCTGTGTTGATTTTTCGCTCCATTGCCTCCACTACTGTCATGTTTACTATTACCTGATGTACGAATGAAGAGATGTATGAAAGGCAGGAGCCTAGAATGGCAGAATGTTGGATGGGCCTGAGTGCCCAATTCTTAACCCCTTTGAAAATAAACTTTGTTCGTTTGTTCGTTCATTTTTTCTGCGTCAGGAGTCTCACAGTTGATCTTCTTCTTCTTCGTGTTCGCCAGCTGTAAACTCTGGTGGAAAGTTCTGGTTGTTCATTCACCTCTGGACTGCAGTCCTATTCCAGAAGCTGAATGTTGCGTGTGCATCCGTTTGACAGATCTGACTAATTCGTATGCAGATTGCTGGTTCCTTGCCTCCCAGGCAGATGCACTCCGACTTCGAAGGAAGCTCCCAATTAGTCGACTCTTACGACATGCTATTGGGTAGGCAGTGGGTCTATTCTTGTTTTCCCTATAATAGGGCCCTGGAATTCACACGGGGTTCAGCACTCAGGACTCAAGACAGGGACGAGATGATAGACCTGCGAAGCATCCTGCAGGCATCTCTCGAGACCCAAAGGAGACTCGAGGAGGAAAATACAGAAATGGCGAAGTTCAAAACAGAATTGATGGCAAATCTAACCGACCTCAAGAAGTTAAAGGAAGCAGACGCAGTAGCCGCCAAAGAACTGAAAGACAACCAGAAAAGTATACTTTCCGAGATAGCCACCATCAAGAAAGACCTGGCAAAAACAAAAGCAGAGGTAGCCGAGGCAAACAATGAATGCGACAAACTCAGCACTGTACTCGAAGCCACGCACAGAGTGATAGAAGCCAGAGAAAACGCGAAGAAAGAAAAAGACAGAAAAAGGCAGATCCACGACGCACACGTGAAACCCGGAGACCTGGAGAAGAAGTGCACACAAGACCTGTACATCCTCAAGGAATGCCTGAAAGGCGATTTCGCAGCAATAAACAAGGAGATGAAGCAACTCAAAGAGGCCACCCGGCATCTTCAACTCGAAAGCATAAGAAACAACAAAACGAAGATAGCAGCCCACTCAAACGGAAACGACGCCCACGTGAAGTAGCAAATTGAAAGCCAACATCCAGCAACCAATGAAAACCGCAAAAGCCGCCATGACAGCTGAACAACCACGCCCACCAGCCCGGAGAAACCTCACAGCCCACAACCAGATGACACAATGTCCGCCGCCCAAGCCACGCCCACCTACCTCACTCTGACAGAAGCAACAAACCTCAGGCAGAAATGTAAATCGCCACAACAGAAACGTAAATAACTGGAGAACAAAACTCTAGACAACAAAACGCCGCTTCGATATAACCAACGCTCAGTATAGGAGCCGGTTGAAAGAGGCAAGAAGTTTTTCGTTTTTTTTACCCACACCAGTTACCAGTTACACGGGGTTCACAGTTGATATCTAGTTCCATTCCTAAAAGCTGGATATCTGTAGGAACCTCAAGGGATGGTCTATTCAGAAGAATTTCAAAATATTCAGTCTGTTCATTTGCTCTTTAGTGTTGGTAAGTACTTTTCCTTGACTATTTTTGATTAACTCAGTTGGCTGACTGTATCTACCTACAAATGTCCTTGTATTACTGTAAAGGTCTGAGGTTTTTTTTTGCTGCTGCTGGCACCGCTCCTTGTGCTAGGTCATCTAAATATTTCCTGTTATCTGCCCTTATTTGCCTCCTAACTTATTTATTAGCTTCTGTGTATTTTTCTGAGCTTTAGCTTTAGCAACTCTAGTTTTCCTATGGTTTAAGTCTGCCTTTTTACTTTTCCTTTCTTCGATAATTTTATTGGTTTATGCTGTTATCTACACCCTATGTTTCTTTTTTTTTACACAAGTTTCTTTCAAATTCCTTTGATCTGATCCCAGCAGACTTCACTGCTTACCTCTTCAACTAACCGCTGCAACACCTGGTAATTATTAAAGAGTGCAACTGAAAATTATTCCTAAACTTCTTTATCTCAGAGATATCCTACATCATACTGGTTTCTATGATTCGTATTACTGGGTTGTCAGGTTTGATCCCAGCTGCGGACAATGTATCTTGCACTGGTTTGGACAGTAGTATCGAGTGGCAAACTATTCAACATAATTTTATTGGTTAAACAATTGGTTACCCAGATAAGCAATACCAAGTGTCCAGCAATACTTCAGTACCAGATAAACAATATCAAGTCCTCAGCAACACTTCAGTACCAGATAAACACTATCAGGTGACAGGCAATATTTCAGAATAAAGACAGCCAACACTACATACCCAATGTGTTATCACCGTCTCTAACATCCATAGTGTTGACATCATCATCATACTCTTGGTCATTCAAGGCCAAGTTCTGTAGAGAAGTGGCCATAAATAAACCAGACATGGACAAGCATAATTAGACCAGACATAGACAAACCTAAATGTAATGAACATAAACAGGCATAAACGTACCGGTCATAGTCAGGCATAAATGTATCAGCCATGGACAGGCGTAAATGTACAAGACATAGAAAATGATAAATATACCAGCCATGGACAGTCATAAATATACCAGACATAGACAGGCATAAAATTACCAGCTATGGACAGGCATAAATATACCAGACACAACAAAGCATAAAATTACCAGCTATGGACAGGCATAAATATACCAGACACAACAAAGCATAATTATATCCGTCATGGACAGGCATAATTGTACTGGACAAAGCAAGGCATGAATAAACCAGCCATGGACATTATTATGGATATTATGATATATATAGATAGATATAGATATCAGGGGTGTATGACTTGCTCCAGTCACAGACAAGAGCTCCCTCAGATGACAATACGACTATTAGGTTCATACAGGAAAGCAAGGAGAGGCCAATGACGATATGACCACTATAAGCCTGGCACATGTAACAAGCTAACATGTCCTGTCATAACCACCAACATTGTCTACGAGTACTGTAACATACAACACCACGCCAAGTATGATCTTGTAGTGCGATCAGTCTCTTTATTATGGATGAACACATTGCAACGAAGATGAATTGGTGACTGATGACTATGATCAGTCTGTAACTGCCTCCCAAATACACACTGGCATACTCTCAAAGCGGCATCACCTCAAAAAGTGAAATCTAGCCTAGAATTGATGTGAGTCCGCATTACACAGGACGCATTCGGCATTTGGGCCCACAACTGCGGCCACCAACTGCCTATTATCAACGCATTCAGCCTGCAAGGCTATATACAACAGCCATTGGCACTGACCAGCACTGCAAAATATAATCAGTCAAATAACACAGTGGTCAGATAAACTGTCTGGATCTCACCGTATCGTCTCCAATAACTACACACATTTGTTGAATTCCGAAACCAAATTCCACTGAGCAGTCCAAACTCTCCAACAGAATAGAAAAATATACATAATCTATATAAATAAAAATTTTAAATGTTCCTTTGTTAGTGACAGCATATCTCCTAAAATTCTTCACTGATTGCTTTCAAATCTTGACAAAATGTTGCATTCAAATACGTGCATGTTTTTATATAAGAGTGTCACACAAAGCACCAACTACATAGCACCAGCGTTAATCACATCAGGGTTTTTTCTCTGTCGTGTTCCTGGCACAGGTTTTTATTGCTAGACCAACTGTGACTATTGACCTCAGAAATCTGCATGAAGCTGTATGCCGAAAGTTGTTCACTGATTGCTTAGAAATTTTGACACAACGTTACATTCTAATATGTGGGTTTTAACATAAGAATTTTGCACAAAGCATTAACTACATAGTTCCAGTGACAATCACATCTGCATCTTGGTTTATGTTTTCTGACGATCCAATTTCTTTTTTGCTGCGGCATTCCCAAACTTTGACTGTTGATCTAAGAAATCTGCACAAAGTTGTATGAGATATTAAATTATTTCACTATGGGGACAACAAACAAAGTTGTTGAAAAACTGTTTGAAAATATACAGATGTGGGAATAAAAACAAGTTGGAATTAATAGTTGTGAGAATTTAAAAAAGGAGTTGTTTAAAGACTGTATAGGAATGAAAAGATATGGGAATGAAGGATTATTAATTAGTGAGGACTATCATCACAGGGTTCTAGACAAAACCTTAGGTTTTCAGATCTTTTCCTCGATAACTCCACAAGCGCAAAAACTACTAATGATGCCCTTTCTGTGATGACTGATCACACAACTCTTGCCCTTATTGCTCCAGACTTCAATCCCCTACCCACCAGCCTCCACACGATCTTCTTTGTATATACATGTCAGTGGACATCAATAACATCACTACTGCCCATGTCAGAGAAGTCACAGTAACTGCCTAACCCACAAGCTTAATTTGCTCATAGTAGCAGCAATGGTAGTAGTGACAGAATAGTAGTATACTTGTTGTAGTTGGTGGGGTGGTTACAACGGGCTGTCATGCAGGAGACCTGGGTTCAACCCCAAGTTCTGTCGGGGGCTGCCTAACCCACAAGCTTAATCTGCTCATCGTAGCAGCAGTGGTAGTAGTGACAGAATAGTAGTATACTTGTTGTAGTTAGTGGGGTGGTTACAACGGGCTGTCATGCAGGAGACCTGGGTTCAACCCCAAGTTCTGTTGGGGGTACAATTAAACATCCTAACCTGAACAGTCCGTGGCGATAACAATAGCCATGTGGCTTCTCTGGCTCATGACCCCCTGTCTACACTGACCTAGACAGGTGATAAAACAGGCAGTAGTGATGGCTTTTTTTAGCTGTTGTGTGCTGGTGGTGTTGGTGGTAGTAGTAGTACTGGTACTCAACGGGTGATATGGTAAATATTACACTGACTGCATTCACTTCTAATTACAATTTCTGCTACCCATTTAAGTCTGGGTGGACATGGATGCCAAGGTCAATTTTTTAAAATGTGTGATGAATTTCAAATCCTTCGGAGAGGGAGAAAGGAGTAGTCTGTGGATTGGGGGGATTTATAACAGGAACTGTTAACGGAGAGAGCTTAAAACAGTTTTCAATTTTTAAATCAGCGATTCTAAATTCTGTTTTGTGGGGGGGGGGGGGAGGGGGAGGGGGGTAACTTGGTTTTTTTTTAGACGTACAGTAGTACACTTTACTCTGAGCTATTTAACTCTTTCAGGACCACATTTTTTCTAGGGTTTGGACAGCATTAATTTTGAGTGGAATTTTTTTACTGCAACACAACAAAGCTAAAACCTTCGTGAAGAAAAAGTACTGGCTGTGTCAGAACATATAATGTATCCAAACAAAAGTAAAGTCGGGAGATGTGAACCAGCGTAAGTGGACACGGTTATAAACCATAAGTGCTCTGCCATCAGTACGGACAGTTAATGAGAATTGTCCGCCTGTGTCGCCGTTCGCTGGAGCTACAGCAACGTTCCTCCATATACCACAGAGTGTCAACTCTGGTACCCATTTCCTAGAGGCTGGGTGAACCCCGGGAGCTGTCCGGTTTCAAACACCGACCGTGGGCTGCAGCTATATTTGAAAGCGAGCCTCTTATTGACCGCGATAACGCGGCCCCCATATATATATATAATTTATCAAATTAAAGATAAATAAGATAGTCTCTTACGTTAGTCAACTTAATAAACACAGTAAAATATGCATTACAGTGATATTACACACACTCCAGACAACTAGGATCAGTGAAGGATGGACACTAACCCAAGAATTTAAAATTCACAAAACATTCTGTAATCAGTATAACCACTACAAGGATAAGGCAAAGGAATTCAATAAAATCAATGACACTGAGGAGATAAAGACAATTTATATATGACTAGAACAAGGGTTGCTCCCAGTAGCAGCTAATGTCATCACAGCTATGCGGTGAAATCATGGCACAGTGGACTTGGCAATCCAGGTTAAGTGTGACCACAACCGCTGGAATATCCTATATATCTGGGCTGGCTGGTACAAGGTTCTGCTCCTCAGCATATCAGACACTGCACTATTGAATACATCAGGCTGTGAACAAGAGTCTTACTCTGGCCATGACACACAAATGTTCCTAATATAAAATTAGTCACTTCTCAAGATGAATGCAGACACAAACGGCAGGCACCCTCTGGCTTCACCATACAGCTCCCTGGGGATGGATCTCTCCCAATGGTACCGTTGGTCACTACCTGGGTGTAGGAACAGACATGTCGGCAGGCCCCATGGTAGTATCTTGTGGCTGCTGATGGCAAGGAATACTGGTGATGTGGATATGTGGTGACTGTCAATCTGGCCTCCAGTGAACCTACAATCCCAAGCTCTGAATTCTTGTAGGAAACATAAATGATCCTTGATCCTAACCATAATTTAGCGCAAAGGCACACAGCGCACGCTTTGGCTGGAAGCCGGGCTGAGAATCGTCCCAACTCAAGCGTCTCTCTTGAAGAAGGCGGAGAAAGATTCATCTGCCTCAGGCGGGGATATGCTCATAGGACGGTTGGCAATAATTACCAATGAATCTCTCATCTACGATTATAGACTCAAAACTATAATGTTCCCAAGAGAATTAGGACATATAGGAGTACTTAACTTGACATACAGACCTATATTTACAAAAGATGGACTATATACCTAAAGAGGCAAGTCCATTTTTTAAACGTAGCCTCATCTGCATAGATGTGACAAGACTAGATGAGTCTAAGACAAAAGGCGTGTGGTCTGTTACGTGACACTAAGGATATAACTGCTGCTTCCAGAGCACTCACATAGACAGCAGTATAAACAGCCAACATGCGGTAATTGTTTCACACTGTAAACATGCTTCAGAAAAAAGCGCTATAGGTAGTCTATGCTCTGAAAGGGTAGAAAACTCAAAAGTCGCACTTAACCTCCATAATTTGGATCTACACATCTAGGCATGGAGAAGTAAATGCTAATGAAAGTTCTGACCAACTGGCAAGTAATCCACAAAAGCAAGCGGGGAAGAAGCATGGTTAGAACTAGGGCTGCACCCAATAGTGATTTTCACTATTCGGCCGAATACGATTAGCGGGACCAACTATTCGGCCGAATACGAATACAAATAGTGCATAATGTATAAAATATATCTAAAAAAAAAAAATCACATTCATAATGTCAAATTTATGCAGAACTTTTACTTCACATAAAGTAGCATAGAATAGTCATCTTCTTCTTTAGCATTCTGAGCCCTTGAGGTATACTGCTGCATATATCACTCGTCTTCATTCATCTTTCTGGCTGACCTTATTTTCACATTTTGTGACACCCATTGTTTGCAGGTCTGACTGGACATTATCTCTCGAACTTCTTTTTTGCCTGCTTCGTGGTCTACGCC